TTATTAGATATAAACATTTAAAGTTTCAAAATTTCGATTTAATATACATGTATAATACACAAGGGATTACAAATATAGGTAGCTAATTGGTTTATTATGACATCAATATTCGCAGGTACACAGCATTGTTATTATCAATTGTAGTAAGGCACATTGTTATGAGTTTATAAATACACCAACTGACAATACAGAAAGTATATCTATTGATAATCATAATTGATAATAAACAATCCGTGACTGAGACAGCAATGTCATAAAAATCCAATTAGCTACCTGTATTTACAATCCCATGTGTATTATACATGTATATTAACTCAAAATTTTGAAACTTTAAATGTTTATATCTAATAAGCTAATAAAGTTATATTAAAAATTCAAATGCCATTTACTATTAAATTAAAAACTCAAACATTTTATTAAATTAAAAATATGTGTTACCATTTAAAAAAACAAAGTTGACCCCCCTCCAAGGCATAAGGGATGAACTTAAAAAGTATTACATAGTTAAAAATTCAAGAATAATGTGTAACTAAAGATAATAAAAAAAAAAAATGTTTAAATTATTATTATTCTGCAAGTAATTGAGTGGGTTATGATAAAAAAATCACCCTGTATATATAAATAACACGTGTCATTTCATTGTTTAAATTGTAAAAAATTATTATTTATTAATAGCAACTATTTTATTGAGGTTTAAAACATTTATATGTTTTGGTTGCATGTTACGGAACAATATAGTAAAATAATCATCAGATTATTTAATAGAAGAACCGTAGAAGGGCTCATCTTCCATTGCCGCCCACCTCACCAACAATAATTTTTTTAAGAATATGATCGGTATTTTTATAAAAAAAAAAAAAATTCAGGTCCGGGATAATTCAATTTAGACCCCAAATAATTGTTCATAAATTTACACCTATGGAAATAATTACTTTATTTAATTTTTATTTAAATAATTACTAATTGCAATTTAGTTTATGAAAAGTAATAATCGGATTGGTTAAATCGTTCACGTAGGTTTATTATGAAAATTTTTGCCTAAACCGAAATGATTAATTTCAATCATTTCAACGCGCTTCAAAGATTAGGCTGGGCCAGACTGGATATTTTTTTATTTATTAGTGACGCGGCCGGGCCGTTATTTTTGTAACTTTGCTATTATTCGAATGAAAAAAATTAAATACTACAACAAACGCGTATTATGGATATACTTCTTATACTTCTATAAGTTTCTTTAAGACCGACGATTCTTTGATACTGTAAAATTTATACGAAAAATTACAAATATTACAAACTTTGAAATATAGTAAATGTAATTCAATGAATTTGAACTACATGACATTAATAAAAGATTTTGATACCAAATTGTTTCGTTAGATTTATTTTACAAAATTATTTTGATTTTTTTTTTAATATTTTTTTTACATATTCAACATTTTATATTAGCTTTGATGCGAAGCTGAAAAGGTATTCATTTTACCATGATGTGTTTATTTCTTTTTTTTTGTGTGTCTGTCAATACTTTTTCTCAGCTCTCACTGCACCGATTTTTCTCAACGACACGTCAAAGATCACAAATCGTACCTAGTTAAAGACATTAACCTCAAAAATAAAAAAATTTTCCCTCGTTCCCCATAAATGGGGGAAATCTTTAAAAAAATTACATATATAAAAACCGCTAATTTTCGTAATTTTTTTTACTTAAAACTTTTTCAAAATAAACCAAATCCATTTATTTTTTTTTATAAATGCAAGATGTCTTTACATCTTGCATATTGAAAAATTTTTCCCCATAAATGGTGAAAATCCCCCCAAAAATTACAATTTTTAAAATCGGTAAATTTTGACATTTTTTTCACTTTTTTTTTCTAAAAATTGCCATAACTTATTGAAAAATGAATGAATCAAAATAATTTTTTTTTACATTGAAACCTTAGATATTTCCCTTTTATTTGATAGAGTATTTTTACTTTTATTATCCAACCCTTTATTTACCCACGGGGGGGATTCAAAATAGAAACTTTTTTACAAAAATCATCTTAGATTATATATAAACTTATTTTGATTATTTTATCTCCTCAAAGTTAAGAAAAGAGACTTTGAATTTTTGAACTAGCTTAAACGGTATTTTTTTTTTAATTATTCATGTCGATCACAGTGGTTGCGTTATTAATTATACAGTCGTATAAATTCGGGGTACAAATTTCAACAACCAGACAAAATAACTTTTTTTGCATTTTTTCATAATTTTTTTTTTTTAAGTTAAAAAAAAAATTCAACACGAAAAATTTATTAATAAAAATATATTTTTGACTCTGATAAAATTTATTTGTAGACCATTTATTCATAATTAACCACATATTATTTTCTGAAAATCATTGTATCAAGCCTTTCAATTTATACACGCTTGCCTTAAAAGTAATAACTACTTTATAATTTTTTATAAATTCTCCGAAAAAATTACATTACTAAATTATTAAATATCAATCTCATACTAATTTAATTGCTATAATAAATATTTATTCATATATTATATTTCTAAATCAAAAAACTACTAATCAGGAATAATGAAGGAAATAGGAATTCATTTCGCTTTTGGTATAATCCACCAACTTCTTAAAATGAAACACTATTTACAGATTTGCAACTAAGCGTTTCTTATGGTAGTAGTATTTTTAATCACTGTCAGATATCATCTACTCATAAATACTTAAATATGTAGATACTAATTTTTCAAAATTATATTTTAACTGATAGTATAAAGTTAAAACATACGATTATGATTATTTTTATGAATAAAGCTAATAAATCATAAACCAAAATATGTGTTCAACAGAACAGATTAAATTTCCTGACCGATATATTATATTATAATTTTTAAAATCATAAATAGAAACAATAGTTTATTTTCTGATTTTCAAAATAAATATTTTTGTTTTATAACACTGTTAAAAAAAAATACAAACAAGATGAAAATATAATGATTTGTCAATTCTAATTATCATAACAAAGAAAAATTATAAAATTTATTTCAAAATTTGTTTTTATCAAAATTATAACTAATAAAATGTCATTGTATCGTTAAATTTATTATTTAAAAAATTTATTTAATTACACATAACATGATATTTAATCCGATTTAAATTGATTTAAATCTACTACTACTTAGAGTTATTGATAAATAAACTAAGCGTTTAAATCGCCAGTCTAATGAATCCGTCTACGATTTGAATATTTTCAAAAACAAACAATACACACTTTAGCCACAAAACATATTAATTAAAAACGACATATTTTCACATAAAGATTAAACGCTTTTCATAAGTAAACGATTCTTGTAAAATATATTACTTGAAATACAATCGAATTCGTTTCGATTCAGGTTCGTAACGTTACCATCGGTTTACATTTTCAACATTATTTAAAATGACTTCTCAAAAACTCATTCAATGATAATTTTCACACAAGGTATGGATTTTCGATAGATAAACATAACGAGACTCACCGTTTAAAAATTATTAGTCTATTGTTAATCTATGTTTGTCGCTTACAGCTGGCCAAGGACAATCATACGGAGCGCCCAATCGTTCAGTCAGTTTAGACCAATTCTTTATTTGTATGTGTTTGACCGTATCACACGCTCTGGGCAACGTAGCGCTGAAATAGTTGTTTTGAAATTTTCCGTTTCTTAAAACAGCCATTCTCATGACAAACTAGAGCACAACAAATATTTAAAAAGAAATTTGGTCGTATAATTTTTTTTTACCTATATTATTTACATATATCCGCACAGCAAAATTCTTGCGGTTATTTAAGTTTCATGCCATTTTTTTTTTTTTAATTATACAAATGAATATTTCATATGAACGCGTCCGTAAAATTGTTTACACCAGACGAGGGAGACATTAAAACTCGGTAAAACGATTCGTCCGTGCACTCGTACGCAGTGTAGTAAGCCACCAAGCGACTCACCTACGCGGTGGTATGTATAGGGTCTATTGTGTTTTACAGAAACATATTTGGAAGGGATCTAGAGGAGAAGTTCAACCCAGGTGACATAATAGAGATTATTGAATTTTTCGAGTTTTACATAAACGTTTTTTTTTATCTTTGTCGCAAACTAAAAGGGTATTTTTTTTTTGTTATGTATGTCGCCACTTATTCTCAGCTTTCCAATTCAGTGTGGCGAAAGTTCACACGAATCGTATCTAGTTGAAGACGTTGCTGTTGAATGTTGAAAAAAATTCCCTTGTTTAAAATCGACACATTTCGACTTTTTTTTAAACCTAGCATAAATTGTTGAAAAATTAAGGAAACAATACATACATTTTTTTTTATAAAATTACTTTGGGTACTAGGCATTATTTCATATACGTTTTTAATCATCTGACCACTTACCTGCCCATAGGAGGAATTTCAAAGAGGCAACTTTTAAACAAAAATTTAACTTTATCAGTTTAAGTTTTTCAATGTTTTGGAAATACTCGGAAGTTCAAACACTTATCTAAAGTTCATTTTACGTACAATACGTTAAAAAAAAAAATTTGTTGAAGACTTTTCTTCTATGTGCAAACGGCTGTCGCAGTAGTTAAAAAACATGAAATTTTGGTTTATTTTAAATCATTTTAAGGTAATAAAAAAAAAGATTCTAGGGGTCGACTATACATTAGTATCCGGACGACAAATTTTTGAATACATCTCTGCTATTGTACAATTTTATGCAAATATTGTGTAATATAATTAATCACTTATTTTATTATCTGTACAATTAATTTATTTCGACTAGCATAGAAAATATGTGTTTTTATAATCGAAAAATAAGTAAATACCGATAGAGTGTTATCAAACGGGATCTTAAGAATCATTGTAGAGTTTATTGTCGACTGATTTTTGCTATAAAACAGGCAAACTTTAATTAATTCTGTACTGTTGGAGCACGGTTCGATTGCGAGCAACTCAAGTTTAAAAGTTCCTTTTGGCTAGAATTAAAAATGTTAATATCATATCCAATTTTTACTAATGCACTGTTATAATACCGTAGTAGACTTACGATTATTTCAAAACCTGTCATGATCTTTGAAAAATAAATATTAAAAAGTACTAATGAAATAAATACTTTTATAAAACAATGAGTAAAATAAGACATTTTACTTTAACACTAAACGATAACTAAATCAGAACTAATGTACATAAACGAAGAGTTACAGTTTACGAACTTCAATTATAAAAATAATTTCCTGTGTATTGAATAATATCATTTAAAAACTAACATTCTCGTTACAAACATAAATATAATGTTAATACAAACATAACATTCAAATTAAGTGTATAATAACCTTGGATTAGTTTTGAAAAATTAAAAAGTACAACAAAAAAATTATGTTATATTATTTACCAATAAAATACGCGTAACAAAATTCAATATTCAGCGATTATTTTAAAATTTGTATTTTTTATAGAGTCAATCCGAAGCTTAGTGAAAAAACGACACGGTAATATTTAATAATACAAAAAAGATAGTTTCTTAAATCGGAGTAATTTTTTTAAATGCGCTCTGCGAGATAAACCGATAAGTGTCATCTTATTTTTTTTCTCTTACTCGACATATTTTATTCTTCTCGATTTTCATAATTTTAATTAAACATTGTCAATAAAAATCTTTATAAAAACTAGCAGATATTTTTAAAAGGTATTACTCATTAGTTAGATTTCAGGACTCCTACAAAAAATCAAAGTTTCCATTCCCTTGGATTCACGCCTTACTTCAAATTCATATTTGTCTCTGTTATAAATTTGTTTTTTTTAATTAATAAAAAATAATAAATTGTTTCTACATAAAAAAGGAAAAGATCTATTGTAGACCACAGGTCAAAACGTAAATGTCTATTTTACGTTGAAAATAACTGCAGAAATAAAAATCCAAAATATAAACAAAATTTCTCTTGTTAATCGTATATGATAGTTTTCTTCTTTTTTTTTAGCAAATCTCGTATAAGTATTTTGAAATAATGCCTTATAAAATTGAACAAATTTAATTAGAAAATTTCGGTTGTATTGAATTTCATTCGAAATTATAGATAAAATTAAAAGAAAACCTTTTTTATCGACGCATTTCAGACTTTCCGAACGCGAGCCTGATCTGCAACTAATAGTTTATATATTTTGCTAATCGAGAAAAATTATCTAATCTTTTTAAAATGAATAAAAATATGTTTTTAGTACGGTAACGACATCGTTATTTTGATTGCCGTAGATTATAGAATATATTCCAAAATAAATAATTTTTATAAGAATACTTACATCAGTCAACGTAGTTATTTTTTTAACAAACTTTTTAATTAAACGCGAGTGCGCATAAAGATAATTTCACTTATTCAGTATACAATTATAATGTGATTGTAATTATACGTTATGCATTGACATAACATATAATTACAATTCACATAATTAAATATAATCAGACTTATTCTGCAGCTAGTACAACAATATCATGTAATGTACATGTTTATTGCGTTATAAAATTGAAAAAAGTAACAAATCGAGTTAAAAGTTCTGTCTCTCAAAAAAGTAACGAGTTATTTGACTTGATCAAACTAACTTAACCAAAGTTAATACCGCCAGCCTTATTTATTATTCGTATTAATGTTTACTATTGAAATAAAATAATCAATTATTTCTAATTAATTAATCGATTATCATTAATATATTATTGAATAAAGAAACGTTCTATTATGTCCGTTTAGAACTCATCGAAATAAAATAAATAACGCGCGTGCCACTCTCGTATTGTACACCTGCCGTCTAGTATACGTCATATGTAATTCACGTCTAGACCAGCGGTTTCGTGAAACCCAACCGGCAAAACGATTCGCGAGATTCGTTGCTATCAGTTAGAATCCTATTATCTCGTAGTGACATTTCAATCGCACTTGTGCGACGGCCAGAGAGGATTCGAGTTCGCTGTGGATTAATCGTCTAAAATGTGTAATACGTTTGCAGAGGTTGGGATTAAATTGCATTGTTCGTATGGCGACGACGTAGCTACGCAATGTACTGTCTAATACACTGAAAAAAAAGTCATTTATAATATTAATAAACAGCGTTTATTGACCAAAAATGATCAAGTTTATTGATTTTACGAACTTTTTTATTAATATTACGAACAGGTGATTATTAATATTACGAACTCGCGTTTATCAATATAACAACGACACTTTTTTAAAAAGTTCGTTATATCAAAAATTGTGTTTATTAATATTACAAATCAGTCATTCCTAAGATTAATGAATAAATATTATTGATATTACGTAGAGTTTCGTTGTATCAATAATAGTGTTCGTTATATGAATAACTGTATTTATTGATTTTATGAACACGGTTTTTATTAAGAAGAAAACATTTATGATTGACATTCATGTTAAATACAATTTGTTCGTTAATATTACAACTGTGTTAATTTATATTACGAACCTTTTTGTAATAGTTAAGAAGACTTTTTATCAATATTATATCGATTACATAATTTTTTTATATTGATAAAGAGTTCATTGATACAACAATTTCAATTGTCATTTGGAAAATACGCTTGTCATTTATACAAAATTAACTTAACGGTGTATCAAAGCATCAGCTAGCATTACATTTGACCTGTTACTTGTTTAGATACACAACTGTGCGGTGTTAAAAAATAAAGAACAAATTCAAATTTTTAGGAGAACTTACTTAGAAAACAAGGTAAGTGACGTTATTATATTTTAAATAATATTTAAACTAAATTGATCTTTTGTTATATTTATTCAACTATTTTTTAAACTTCCGAAGAATTCATTCGTCAATATTCTCTACTGACATTAAAATGATATGTTTCATGTGTAAATTGTCTTTTGACCATATTCAAAATCTAATAGTTCATTTAAAAAATTCGCATAAGTTGAATAATTATTCATTCGTTAGATGCAATGATTGTGGCCAAGGTTTTACTCTATTAACAAGATTTAGGAGACATGTCATGAGACATCATCAAAATAATCCAAATAGTTCTCTTAGTAGCAGTAATATTGTTTTAGATTCAACACATAACAGCAATTGCTATCTTGTTAATTTTAACGTCCCTTCTACGTCTTCAGATTCTTCAAATGTATCGGATATTTCTCAATGTAACACACAGTCGGAAAACTTACCTAACACTTTAAAATCTGATGCAACGGGCATAACAACAAAAAAATTTGATTGTGCTAAACATTTGAAAAATAATAATGACCTGGCTTTAGAATTTTCTCTGTTCTTACATAATAATAATAATTTTTCGAGAAAAGATGTGCTAGAAATTCAAAAGCATGTGAATGATTGTATAATAAAACCTATTTTAGATACGTTAATAGATTTTGTTAACATAATCTTTGAAAATGAAAATCTCAATATAATTAATGAATTTTCTAGTTTGGTGTCAATTTTGCGTAATCCTTTTAAACTTTTTGATTCGGATTATAAAATGTATAACTTTTTAAAAAATGAAGGTTATGTAGATAATTTTACAGAAGTAACATTAAATGAACAAATAATGCCTGCTCATCGAGCAGGAAAATTGGAAAATAAACAAATGATAATAAAAGGTATTGTTATGCCATTAAAATTTCAATTTATAAATTTTTTCGAAAAAAATTATTTGATCGAACCAACTTTAAAACAGATCAATACTTTAGAACAAAATAATATTAAAATTACTAATTTTGTACAGGGTGATCTATGGAAAGAAAAAAGAAAATTATACCCAGGAAAAAATTTAATACCGTACATTCTGTACCTCGATGATTTTGAGATTAACAATCCGCTTGGTTCAAATTCTTTAAAACATTCTATTTGCAATTTATACTACTCGTTTCCTTGTTTACCTTTAGATCAATCGAAATTGGAAAATGTATTTTACGCTGCAGCGATAAAATCCTCTGATGTAAAATTATTTGGCAACGACAAATGTTTCGAATATCTTATTGAAGAATTAAAAGATTTAGAAATAAATGGGCTAAATATTAATAATGGAAATAATGTATATTTAAAAGTACACTTTATCCTAGGTTTAGTCGCGGGTGATAATCTAGGGCTTAATTGTTTTCTTAACTTCAACAAATCATTCGCCAGTAATTATTTTTGTAGATTTTGTAGAGCGACAAAACCAATTACTCATAATTTATGCTCTGAAAATGTAGAAATCATGCGTTCAGTCGAAAATTATGAAATTGACATTTCTAGTCCTGATTCAGTTGGGATTGTTAGTGATTCTTTATTAAACAATATTCCTTCATTTCACGTGGTGAAAAATTATTATTGTGATATTATGCAAGACCTTTTTGAAGGCGTTTGTCACTATAATGTTGTACACTCAATCAACTATTTTATTATTTCTATGAAATACTTCGTTCTCGATACTTTGAATTCTCGCAAACAATTATTTGAATATGGACCAAAAGAAATTGAAAACAGTTCGGAAAAAATTGATATTAACCATTTAAAAAAAAAAAAATTAAAAATGTCGGCAAGGGAAATGATGACTTTCATAATGTATTTTCCAATAATGATTGGAGATCTTGTTCCTCAAGATGATTTAGTGTGGAAATTTTTGATTAATTTTATCGAAATTATTGACATTTTACTTTGTTTTGAGATAAGTGAAAATAGCATACAAATCTTAGATAGTAAAATTAAAAAGCATAATTCTGATTTTGTAAGTTTATTTAATGACACACTGAAGCCAAAGTTTCATAATTTAATACACTACCCCAATATTCTAAGACAATCGGGACCTCTTAGAAACATTTGGTGTTTCAATTTTGAACAGAAACACAAGCAATTTAAAATTTATTCAAATTGTATAACGTCAAGGAAAAATATATGTTTTACATTGGCCAAAAAATATGAATTAAAATTTGCACTACAACTATTCAAAAAAACTTATTTTACTAATCTTATTGATTTAAAAGAGAAACACCTGGTAGATAGTAATTACAAAAATCTTATTAAAGATAAATTGAGTTGCTCTAATATAGATTTTATTAAATTTTACTCACAAATAAATTACAATGGAGTCCAATACAAACGTGGTTATTATATTTCAAATTTTGACAAAGATATTTTATTCCATTTAATTCTCGAAATTATTGTTCTAGAAAATAAAAGCATTTTGTTTTTTTGTCAAAATGTTAGATTTGTAAAATTTGATGGGCATATTCAAGCTTATGAGATTGATCCTAGTAAATTAGGTTCATTTTTTTTATTATCTACTGATAAAATACTTGGACCACCTCTTCATTTAATAAAAACAGCAAAAGGCAAAAATGTGTTACGTTTAAAAGATTACTTTAAGTGTATCTATTAAAACTAATGAATAATTATTTAATTACCTTCGGTAACATACTATTAAAATTAGAAAAAAAATTAATTTAACATTATTAATTTTTAATTTTATTTTGTGTTTTTGATTAGTGAATTATTTATATGATTTTTATACTAAGATTTTTTTTAATGGTAAACCCTACATTTTTTATGCAGTAAAAATGAATTATACTTTATATTTTTATTTTTAATCAAATTAAAGAAAAAGTAAATCATCATGGATCCTGCTGATGTTTTTTACGATGAATCATCATTGCTCATTGACCCATCTCAAGTAAGAATTTGTAATGATAACTTAATTGTGGATAATACTGGTGAAAATTTTGTCATGATGGACATCTCAACATCAAATAATTTTCAAGAAAACCTAGATGAAAGAAAACTAAGGCTCTTATTGTCAGAATGGAAACTTGACATACTGGTTGATGTATGCATTGGTATTAGAATTTTTTTGATCATATTTTAGCTTTTTTAATATTAAAATAATAGCTTAATTTATATTAATATATTATAGAACAACGTGTATTTGTCAATATATTAAAAATAATTAAAAGACACCATATAGAACGCTTATTAAAAGATTTTGATTTGGGTACACAAATATTATTTGAGCACAAGTTAGAAGAATGGCGTGAATCGATTGGAATGTCATTAGATTCAGTTCCAAGTAGTTGCTCATCACCATGCTCATTCACATCAACTCGAGCCTCAACTTCAAACACATCATCAAGATTCACTCCATATGACAGATCTTCTCTTAGTCCAGATAATTCAAATATAATTATGCTAAGCAATGTTTTGAATGAAACATCTAGAGGGAAGATATTAGTTGAATACTACTCCAAGTTTTCAAATTTCCAAGATGAACAAAGAACTCTTCTTATTAATTTGATAGCACAATACTTCGAAGAAAAATGTGTAAAAATGACTCTAGCTATTAGCTATCAGTTAGAACAACAAATTTTGGAAAGATTCCCATCTGAGAAACTGGTAATATATAATTTTTATTCAACTAATAATCACTTAATGACAAAAAATAAAATAAAAATAATCATGTTTAAACATTGTTTTAAGAAAAAGCAAATCAAAATTTTTCCAAAAAAAAAATCTATTATGGTAATTTCTTTTTTTTTTTGTTTTAAGATAATAATAATGTTTTATTAATATTTACTAATATAATAATACTTCTAGGTGGTAATGAAGTTTGTTAACTCACATATAATTAATTTTTATAGGAGTATTATAGAACTTCTAAACGGGGTAAAATCTATAATAAGTATTACAATTTAGCAACGTCATTTAAAGTTGTATCTGGACCTCTTGGAACGGTAGACAAGAAATCACCTGTCAATTCTGAAAAGTTTAGTAGACATTCAAAATGCTCAGGTATATTGCAATTATAATATATATATTAATATAAATAATACTTTATTTCTGGAATAGATAAAGTTAAAGCTGTAAAACTTTTAAATAATACTTTTTAGAACCAGAGGTAGATTCAGAGAACTATATAAAAATATTAAAATATGACAATTTAAGTAATGAGGAATTTGACCGAACATGGCAGGCATGTTTTAATTCACGCCTTGATTTTATAAAAAAGTATACAACAAAAGACATCTTTGATAAATGGCCAGCATATAAAACAGCAAATGGTTACCGTTTAGTAAATTTGAAAATTTTATTCATTAAGTGAACAAGAATTTATTATTTTTAAATTTTCAGATTGACATGGACTTTGAGGCTGCTTTTGAAAAAAAAGGCGACCTTTTAGAAAATTGGGAAAAAAATATTAGTAAATTGTTGTTATTCCTTTCTTTTAATTCTAACGTTAAAGACAAAAATGTAAGAAAACTTATTGAAATTATCAGAATGAACAATCAAATATCTGAAAGTAAAAGAAAAAAAAAAAAAATTTGATGTGTAGTTTTATCAACATTTACGTTACATTGTATTTATTTTTTAGACGGAAGAGATGCTGCTATTATTTGGGCACTGCATGGGTATTTTGTACCAACTAATAAACTTGTTAAGATTGACCCAAAAACAAAGCAGAAAACAACTATAAAATTCACTATTCGAGATTCACAAGAATCCGTTATTTTTGTTGGATCTACAATTCAAATGGTCGAAGACCATATTGAAAACTTGAAAAAATCAAAAAAATCAATCCAGCCCACTATATTTTGTATTGGAGAAAATATAACATCAATTAATGAGATTTTCCTATATTTGGATGGCGTTAGATATATTTTTAAAAGTATCATAAAAGCTCTTGATATTTGTTTTAAATCCATTTATTTATTTGATTTTAAATTTCCGGATGAATCTGTAATATTTTATTTTTTTTTGGAATATTTTTTTTATGTTTTAATAGATAAGCTAAGTTTTCCTAAAGTACATGTATTGGAACAATACTTAAATAATTAAAGTATTGTTCCAATACATGTAATTTAACAACTTAAATTTATACATTAATTAGTTGTTAAATTGATATTTATATAAATTCTTTTGTTATTAATAATTGATTGTTTAAATTCTTTATACTAATTTGAACTATATTTTTACTTATAATTAAAATAAATAAATGCGTTGATTAATACAATAAATTGTTAAATAAAGTTTACTGTATATTTTGATGGTATTGGTTTAATACTTTATTGCTTATTTAAAGCTTTTAATTTTGTAATAATAAAAAATATTTATTTTGTTATCCTGAAAACTTGTAATTTTGGACTTTAACCCCTTTTCTTTATTAATTTTTTTGTATTAAATTTAATTAATTTTTATATTTAATTCTTATAAAAATTAATACTATAGTAATACTAGTAATAATAATTATAATTAAAAGTGTAATTTAAAACATTTATAAATATAACGAATACTGTTTATTGATATTAAAATCCTGGTATTTTATATTACAATCGTAGTTATTAATATAACGAATACAGTACCTAAAATCAATAATCCTAGTTGTAATATTTATAAAAAATGGTTTTTATTATAAAAACACCGTTATTGATATTACGTACACGATATTTTAGTATTAAAAACAACAGTTATTAATATTACAATTGTTGTTTATCAATATTACGATAGGTCCGTACGTAATATTAATAATCAATATTTCGTTATATCAATAATGGCGTCATCGGGTTCAAATCAATAACCAAAATTATTTTATTAATGAACTTTTTTTTTAATATTATGTACTAATTTTTTTCAGTGTAGAGTGTATAACAAGTTCGTCGTAACCAAGAAAACGATTATTAATCTAAGGACACAATGACAAATGTAATAAAATAATAAATCGAAGTTTTTTTAATCGTTCCGAAACACTATATTTTTATCGGAAATATACGCGCAAATGGTGCGCTAATTTTTGTTGACATCGCTGCGCCCGATGGAGCAATCGGTCGGTGGTGGTGGATGTTTTGTAGGTCTCAACAACCGTCGCATTCAAGCCAACCCCTATCAAACACGCGTTGACAGATTCGAAGAAACGTGTCTCAAAGACCAAACGGTAGCGTTGGTGAAACACCTCCGTCTGTTATCCACGACCCTCGAAAAAGCCAACGAGGAGGCTACGTGGCTGTCGGACGCGATCGCCGTCGAGTACGTGAAGCACGGTTTGAGTGCGGACGTCGAAAACGATCGAAACCTGACTGCGCTGATGTTGACGGCGAAAGCGGCAGAACCATCGGGATGTGGTGACTCGCCAAAAACCGACATCGGCGTGCAAGTGGACGGGACCGCGACGTCCAAGAGAACCGACGGCGGCAAGCGTAAGCTGTCCGTGAGTTACGGCAAGAGCTTATCGGACAACGAGGGTCGGACGACGCGCAAGGGAGCGGAGAAATGGGCGGACAAAGAAATTTCAATTGCGTCATCCGCCGTCACGGACACCACGGTGCTCGGCGAGAAAGCGGTCGAGTCGGAGGATCGGCCGATCGAATCTCGTCGTAGAGATGGCGAAAAATCGGTTTCGCCCGCGACCCACAACGACAACGGACAACTTTCGCGGAATCGCAAACGCGACCAAAACGCTCCGTCGACCGCCTCTACCGACGACGATCGAAGAACTCGGCTGGACTCGAATTCCAGTACGACGTCGGAATCGAAAGGTCGGACCAAGATGCTCAAACTCTGTTGGTTGTTAAAAAACAACATAGCGGAGCTCAGGGCGCTCTACGAGAGAAGGCGACAGTTGGGTTACGCGTACACGGATTTAGAAAAGGGCGCGATGGGTTCGAACCTGAATTCTCTGGAAACGGACGTGATGAGGCTAATGAAAACCATCGAAGAATTCAAAGAACGACAACGCGACCCACTAAAACTGAAATGTATTGTGGACGCGTATAAGAAATACGAGTCCGAATACAGAGCTCTGAGGACTATGAATAAAGAAGCTAAAAAACGAAACGAAAAATGTGGTGAAAAATGTAAAATTCCCCAACAACCGGAACAAGAAGACGACTGTACAAATAATTTAACGGTGAAAACGGTCATACAAAAATACGTGTGTCGACCGTGCTACAATCTTTACAGAAACAATACTGTAAAAAAATGATTTTAATGATCAGCACACTACGTTTAACGGTGTTCATTTTTAATCCATAATTCGAAGAATAATAATATACGCATTGCGTGTTCATTTATTGACTGGGTTAAAAATATAAATTTAATTAAAAATTTAATTATTATAAACGTAATATTTTTAATGTCTCGTAGAGTATATGACAAGAGATAATATTTGACTATATATTATATACAGAGTGATTGATTAAATATGTCTTACAAATAACCTCTGAAAATATAAGAGTTATGTNGTGAAAACGGTCATACAAAAATACGTGTGTCGACCGTGCTACAATCTTTACAGAAACAATACTGTAAAAAAATGATTTTAATGATCAGCACACTACGTTTAACGGTGTTCATTTTTAATCCATAATTCGAAGAATAATAATATACGCATTGCGTGTTCATTTATTGACTGGGTTAAAAATATAAATTTAATTAAAAATTTAATTATTATAAACGTAATATTTTTAATGTCTCGTAGAGTATATGACAAGAGATAATATTTGACTATATATTATATACAGAGTGATTGATTAAATATGTCTTACAAATAACCTCTGAAAATATAAGAGTTATGTTTTTTTTTTCTTTATGAAATATTATTTTTCTATCTTGGGCTGCTCAGTGAGTAAAATTACATTTTTATCACCATCCCTTATGTTTTAATTCAGAATCAATTTTCAAATGGTAACCCTATTTTTTATATATATATATAATCAGATAACTTTTCGTAAATTTTTTTATTATTTTATTCAATTATCAGCGAGCTATGATTCATTAAAATTTAGGGGGATGGGTATTACTCACGTTGATTTATAGAAGACGCAAACATTTTACGTCACGGTACAATACACCGATTGTTCTTATCTGTACACTAAATATTAATGTTACTGTATTTACCCGACTAATGTTTTATTTGCTAAGCTTTAAATCGTGATATCTCGTTTAGAATTAATTAAAATTGAATTTTTTTTTTATGCTAAACAATTAATAAAAAAAAACACTTGGTGCTATTTGAAAAATAGTTGATATTGATTTGATGGTTAAGGGATGGAATCTTTATTTTTCTTGTCAAGTAGCTCAACAAAGATTTATAACAAATAAAATAATTACATACATGATAAATCAAAATATTTGTAAAAATAAAAAATATATTTTATGGATTATGAAAATCCAAGTAATATATATATTATTTTCGTGGATAGGAAAGATAACTTATGCAAATCTTTTATTTCTACCGTCTTACTGTTTTCCAAATGAACCGCGTTGGCTTGTGCTTACGAGCGTTGATCATAAAACAAAACTGTGAGCAATAAATTATTAATGGCCAAGACGCTGGCGTCAGTATTATTACGACTTATTAAATTTTCATTAGATGACAGCCGGAGATAACTAAAACTCGCTTTGTTAATCCCACGGCGATTACTGGGTCGGTCGATACTAATACTAAATCAAAACTTATTTACTCGCTTAAAAATGATTCCGATTAAATATCTACATAATCAGTTTCACTGTTGATTGTATGATTGTAATAATTCCAGAGAAACTCTCTCTCGCTTAACTATCAAAATCGTTTACTAATTTATTTGCGTATATGTCGATGAAAATAAATTCAATTTAATTAACATTCATCTTTTTTTCGTCGGGATAAACCGTTTATAGTTATACTGGCGTTTATACTTGTTTTTTTTTTTTTTAATCAAATTGATTTCAGGTCGAGATATCTTGTAACTCGAGTTAAAGAACATGAAGATAACAATAGGGTAATAAAAAATTGCATGTTCTTGATCAATCGCATCGACAAAAGTATTTCACATCGATTTGAGACAATGAAAATGTATAATTTTAGCTTCGATGCGAAGCTGAGAAGGTATTAATTCATTTTCTACGACTATATTCAATAAAATATGATTTATCGTTTAAAATTAAAATATATTCGCTAAAATAATTATATAAGACTCATAAATTATAGACAATAGAAATCAACTATCCTTTGCTTCTTATGAAACTTTACACTTGTCTTCGTCTTCTTCGTCTTCCTCTAAATCCACCGAAGACGTTTCTAGCTGACCGCCCGTCAATATATTGTTGACTACAGCTCTTGCTAAATAACCAGTAGTAATTGAATATTTGGACGAAATAAATTGATCGAGTTTATCATTCACTTTAGAATTATTGTCCTGACAATCAAACATATGTTATCGTTATAAATATTGCAAGATAAAAATAAATGGTTAATTTCAAAAGAATCGGCCAATTACAAGCTGACACATTATTTTTTTCTTTCTTTTCTATCTTTAATATAAAAATTACTCGGTTAAATTTTTAACGGATGAATATAAAGTATAAAAATTCTTAATGAATAATCGTTATTTCAATCGTTAATACTACCAAAATTAAACTTAAAAAAAAAAAAAAATGTTCATAGAAATCATCTACAATTATTAAATTTGTTCTCCGATAATTTTCGGTGAGTTTTCACTATTTGTGACTATTTGAAGCCGAAACCGTTTAATCGAAATGAACATTAGATTTCGCGAAATTCTCACAGAAAATATATCAAGCAGTAGAGTAATTCTAAATGGAATAAAAAACGCGAGGAGTATTTTATAACGGTTCCATTACATCTTATAGATATTATAGATACCGAAGATTATTACCTTACAAAACATCAAGTTGGCCTGTATTATCAGATTGTCAAGATTTAATTCATCTCTCAGAGTAAGTTCAGGGTTGCGGATGAGGATTGTCGAAACAATACATAACAGCTGAAAATACAACATTTTCCTAATTTAGCATCTTTTATTATTTGTCTACTTATGTTTGCTGAAGACAGAATAAACCTCACAACGCACATTAATTTAACTTTACCGACTAGCATATTTTCATAAAATATAATTATCATAGCACATAAGCTCAGCGATTTTGACTTTACTTAAATAACCAATTAAAAAATCAATATAATGATTTTTAACAGAATTTATTTGTAAATAATATTTTTTTTTATGTAATTACTCAAATTTATGATTTAAAATAACGATTTTTTTTTTATCATTTTCAATGCAATAATTTTTTTATTTTAATTACTTCAATTGTGATGTAATCACATCTACTTTTTAACTTCAAGCAAAATGTAGTGTAATAAATACCCATAATTGTAAATTTATTTACTTAATATAATTAAATCAAAATGGATATTAAATCGACCCAATTTGTTTTGTGATACATATAGTTAAATATAATCCTTTGAAAATGAAAATATATTAATGCCATATAAATGTACACCCGTGCAAGGTTCTTTTCGTATTTGTGTTTTATATATTTATTCAGAAATGTATATATTTATTATTCTTTATGTGCCACATGCTATACACATGTATACTAATAAAAATGATGAAAAAAAAATTAACTCTAAATGTTCATTAATTGTAACAATGACGTCTGTAATATAGTCTATTATATTTAAAGCTGGAAGTTAAACATTTTATTTAATATTGTAATATTCGGTTTAATTGTAACATAATTGTATTTTCCTGATCTATTATTATTAGACCAGGAAGTAAATATTTATGAACATTTTTGAGAACTGCCGTACTATTAATTTTATATTAGATTTAAAAAATAATAATAAAATATAAAATTGTTTAGTATACAAGACGGAATAGAATGAATTGTAGGGGAGAGTACCACGGGAGTACCGCGGGCAATTTTATTTTTGTGTCGGACGTTTTTAAGGATATTACATATAACGTTTTCGGTGAGTAACACAGGTTGAAGATACGCGGGGGTGTGAGCGACGGACATTGTAAGCTGAAGCTAAAAATAAATTAGGAAATCAATTTTTTGATATGTTTTTATTTTAGTTACTTTTGTGATTGGGCCATATATCGGCCCGACTATTATAAAGCTATCACTATACAATAGCTATTTGATATTTTTATAGTCGTTGATGACAAACCTGTGTACTGTGTAATGCGTTGCGTGTTCAAAATATGTTGTTAGTTGTAGATTTTTTTTCCTATAAATTTTAATAATAAGTCATCACTATCGAATATATTACTTTATTGTACTTTGAGTGTGAGAATTCACTGAAGAAAACAAGATGATACGTGTAAAACGAGAATGTTTTACGCGTTTCGTCTTGTTTTATTCGTATCTTTTTAATTATTACGTTTACGTCATTATTAAACTATTTTCCCTCTCTATTATTATCGGTAAATGTGTAAGAAATTTCTCTTTAAAACACGAGCGAGTCTCTCTTTATACGTCCGCCCTCGGTAGTGACTTAATGGGGTAATTTGTGCCGGTAATAATCGAGTGCCCTTAGTCTTATTACTGTTTTGGGTTACAGCCGGCGGTCACGGACATACCCCTCGGTAGTGATAAGGTAGAAAAAGTCTGTTCTCGAGTCAGCAATTAACACTCGAGGGTTTTATTCATAAACATAGATGCGCTCTCGAATTTCACTATCCTAGAGTAATACCATTAATATAATAATACTAATAGTCGTGATTAATGATGGAGTTTTACTGTTTGTTTTTTTTTCTTATCACTTTCTTCTACTTGGCCCGCCCAAGCGCGATCCTGCGTCTTACCGTCCTCGCCAATACCTCCGCCGTCGTTTTGTGCAACTCGTCCTAAATACTCGAAACTTTCCACCTCTCCTATCACGTCCTCTATTATTATCTATTACGAGCTATCGTAGCTGATCTCCTCGTTTCACCCGCTTCGCGTTCTCCTTCGCCAAACTGGTACTCCATATACACTCTGCCCTACTCGTGTTTATTCTGAAACCATTTCTTTCAATAGCCGATCTCCGCGCGTCTAGCCTTTGATCGGATTTCTCCCTATTATCGACACTATTGTATCTTCGGCGAGCCTTTTCGGGACTCCTTTTGCCGTTAATTTCTTCGGGCACTCTACCGTTCTGTTTTAAATTCAAATTTAAATAACAATTAGTTGAAATTTGTTAGAAGAGCAGTACTAGATTTATCTAGTAAACGCTTTGTTGTGTTACAGCAGGTACACTCTACATTACTGAGAGACAACACCGTCAATCCCTTCACTTGTCGTATACACGCGTGTCATCATTACCCGCGAACTGATTTTACTCACCTCGACTACGAGTTGTCTATACTCGGGTATTTGTATGCGAATCAACATGTTCTCGACGAACAAGCCGAACTGAAGCTCGGAATGAGTCATGTGATTGATGGTGGGTCGTTGTGGTAAAACTTGGTTCAACACGCGTATACCCCTCGGTGTCCGCACGAGAATATCCCACACTTGATTGTAGAACTTATTCGGTACTCGACACCAACAACCTTCGATCATTCGTTTGTGCAACATGTTTATCCTGCAAAACGCATAATCGCTTAAACAAAATGTTCGTATAAACAAAAGCACAAATTATATTTTTACATGATTTATTCCATACGATTTTTGCACATACGCGCGATTAATACACACATACACAGCTCGCAGTAAGACGTTAAAGGTATACAAATTCAAACACGGATTTTATGAAGAAAAACACTATTGTCACAGAACAACTTCCGGAGTCCCGTACGTCTCGTATTTTCTATTATATTTAAAACTAGGTCGAGGCGTTTTGAAATATTACCAAATACACGTATAGATTAATCACGGTAGTTAATTTTGTTAGTATTTATCTCAAACGTCTAGTGTTGCATCTAAAGAGTTAATTTTGTTATTGCTAGTTTTTAAATAACATTCTGTAAGAATTCACTATTTGATATATGCACGGCGACACAGAGGGATGTGGTATCCCCCTGTGTTGCCAAATGAATGTGTTGTTGTATTTTTAAGAATATATTTTCACAACACATTTAATATTATTATATTTTTGTGTGTTGTTTTTTTTTAATAACTTACAGATTTTATAATATCAATCAATTCCTCTATTAGAATATGACCTTTTTTTATTATTATATTTTAATCATTACCTCGAAGGTAATATGTTTAATAAACTTATAACTTTACATGTGTACGTTCGTTTCGTTTTTTATTCTCTATAATTAATATATATGGAATGTAATATATATAGAACGTGTTATGTGAAAATTACATTTCTACATACTACAAATTTTAGAAATTATACAACAATTTTTATCTACCCTTATGAAATTTAAAATTATTTTACATAAAATTTAAATAGATTGTATTATAATAAACTATCTTTAATGAACTATGATTATAAAAATATCGGAGTTCAATGGTTTGGTGTACAATTATTGTTAAGGGGGGAGAAGAACAGTTCTCTAGAATGCAACACATTTTAGAGGCGCCATAAAAATATGAATACGTTCTTTTTTTTTTTACTAAGATGTACTCTATTTAAAACTATATTTTTTCTAACATCAGTCGATGTTATTGCTTATGCCATAGAAAATATTTTATATCTACACCACAGATAGGACTAAGGAAGTTTTATCTTATCTTCGCCTGCACCATAAATAGATCTTCTCACGTCAATATAATTGTTATTTCTTTTATAGTGAATAGACGAAAGGATATTACATATAACGATTTCGGTGAGTAACACAGGTTGAAGATACGCGGGGGTGTGAGCGACGGACATTGTAAGCTGAAGCTAAAAATAAATTAGGAAATCAATTTTTTGATATGTTTTTATTTTAGTTACTTTTGTGATTGGGCCATATATCAGCCCGACTATTATAAAGCTATCACTATGCAATAGCTATTTGATATTTTTATAGTCGTTGATGACAAACCTGTGTACTGTGTAATGGGTTGCGTGTTCAAAATATGTTGTTAGTTGTAGATTTTTTTTCCTATAAATTTTATTATTTTAGTTTACAATAGACGAGAATAATTATAATAAAAAATAACAATAATAATTGTTGGTTTACATAACAAAAAATTAATTTTATATTATATTGTATATATTCATTAATCACTAATTTTCTTTGAAGCCTATGTAAGTTTTTAATTATTGTATATAAAAATATTGTTTAATTCAAAAAACTATTATTTCGTCCTTTAAAGCAGTGGTCGGCAACCGGCGGCCCGCGGGCCGTATCCGGCCCGCGTGGCTATTGAATACGGCCCGCTTTAAATTCTAAATCGACTAATTTAATTGAATATCATTTTGTATAAATATAATTGAACGTTGCGTTTTTGGTACGAGTATTTTATATAAGTCATATTATTATTTTAAGTTTTAGATAGTATTTTTTTGCATAATAAATAATGTAATTATAAATTTTTTTTTTTTTATCTGGCCCGCGAACTCTTTTTAATTTGTAAATGTGGCCCGAGAATTAAAAAAGGTTGCCGACCACTGCTTTAAAGCATAAAAAAAATTAATTTTCTTTAATGATATTAAAACCACTATCATAAAAATCTGTGGGTATATATAATGATATTAAAAATGCTTAGATCAATACAATTTTTTTATGAGAAATAATATTTTTTAATAATCTATTTTTCATTCGACATACTTTATCTTAATCAGGATATTAATAAGGAAACAGCAAATCATGTAGCTTTTGGAATAATCCACCAATTTTTTTAAATTAAACACTATCTAAAGATTTATATAAGAATTTATAGTACATAACATGAGCTTTAATTTAGCATATGTTTAAAAAACGCAGCATATCCGGAACATTTTCAAAAGTTAGGTTGTAAAAGTTGACTTTTGTAAAATGTCCCTATTTTGAATCCTCTATTGCGAGTAATTAATTGGTTAGAATTTCAAAAAAATTATATCAAATAAAAGGGAAATAATTAAGGTTCCTATTAAAAAAAAAATGGTTATGATTTGTTCATTTTTTAAAAAATGATAGTAGTTTTAAGGAAAAAAGTGAAAAAAATGTCGAAAATTAGCGATTTTATAAAATTGTAAATTTTTTGGAGGTTTTCCCCATTTACGGGGAACAAGAGAAATTTTTTCAATTTTTAAGGGCAATGTCTTCGACTATATACAATTAGTTATCTTTTGACGTATTGTTGAAAAAAATCGGTCCGGTGAGAGCTTAAAAAAAGTGGTGATAGACATAAAAAAAAAAACATCGTAGCAAAATTAATACCATCTCAGCTTCGCATTGAAGCTAATATAGCATTCAAAAACAAATTTAAATACAATAACTCACTGTTCTTTTTGTGTCCATTCTTTAATGGTCAGTATTTTTTGTAACAGTTGTCGAATAGCATATGGACTAAGATTTTCTAAGATTTTCTTTTCTTTTTCAGCTTTTAACTGTAATTTCATCGCTTCTAACACCCACCTTCAATAAGAGCATAAATATAAACAAATAAAACATTGAAATTGCTTTTTATCATATTAAAAACAAGATTTTTACAAATTAATTATTCATTTTTTTATCATATTCAAAATAACCAAGGTATTTTTTAGCTTACAATAGTGACTATTTCACTAGTAGTAATTTTTCGGGCTACACTATTATTCGAATAATAAAAAACAGTATAAATTTATTGAGTTTTTGTTATTTTTAAAAAGATTGTATATATCCAATAAAAACTTTTGATTACCCCACTCTTATTTTCAAAATTCCTTTAAATAGGTCTGGATGAGTACCAATTAATCGACCGCAATATAAAATAATCTCTTGTTGAAGTACAGCCTGTATGACATTATAAGGTTGTATAGTTGAATAAATGATAGAATCGATTGCATCTGGTGTCATGGGTTTATCAAAAACCGTTTCCTTATGGTCGATAACTCCAACTGTTAACTAAAAGTAAAAAAAATGTATTAAATATATTACGACTATAATTTTTGGTTGTCGATTTTATTTAAACTCGGCAACCGATATTTATTGGTAAAATTATTTTTTTTACCTGTTTGCCGTTAACTAATACAGTAGTGATGAAAGGACTGATACTATCAACAGTATGACGTAACAAACTACTACAATACCTTACAGCTATCCAATAGTGAAGACAACCAGCTGTATGATATAAATTGGTCAGTTGAGTTCTAACTGTAAATAACGTGAAAGTATAGTCATATTTTGAACATTTTTGACCACTCGACGAATATTGAAACTAACGTAAAATTTTTTACGTACTTGAAGCACCGAGTATTTCTTTATCGAGTCCTTCTCTCTTTAACAATATTCCATAAAGTTGTGCTTGAGAATACAAACCAACACCGTCACGAATAACTTGAATTATTTCGCTAGTGTTTTTGTAAATGTATTTCTATAGAAAAATAATTTTTTATTACTATTTATTCAACATCATACCATAAAGTAATTTAATACTGGTTTTGGAAAGGTTATGAAAACTTATACTAACTCAAAAGAACTAAATCGTATATGATACTTAACCACCTAAATATCACCTAAATACGAATAATTCTTAACCAAAGCTATCTTACGAAAATTATACCAGGTATATAAATAAGGCCACTTGTAAATTTTTTCTTCATATAGTAGAAAAATAAATAAATTTTTGAAATGTAAATATGATCAATTATTTTATTGCTTAAGTAGTAGTACTGGTTTTTTTTTTTTGGAGTTGAGAATATGCCGTATACATTTTTAAACGTCAAAATCAATTTTTTCACCATGAGATCATTTTTTTTTATTTTAGAAGGTAACAAAATTTAAAGGAAGAGCTCGTTCCTATGTTTCCACTCCTGGATCCGCTACTGGTTCTCCTTGTTAATATTTTCCCTTAAATATTCGCTAATATTTAATTTAATTTTTTTAATTTTACAATAAAAATTAATCTGTAACAGAAGAATTCTTTTGATTTCTGTTGGGACTAATTACTGATTTACTCAGTTTATTGAAAAATAAAACTAATATTAAAAAAATAGTTACTATCAATTTATAAAAAAAAAATGGAAAATATTATTTTGAATAGATGATTATAGTTTCGATATATAGCTAAGAAAATACTGATTTTATTCTGCTGTTTTTTTTATCAGTAGGTTAAAGTTGTCTATTCCTATAGGACCAATTTTTCTGGAAAGATGATTATGAAATTTTTATTAAATATACTTAAGACATTTACCTTTACAACGACATAATTTTTTTAAAAACCCAATCATTATCCAAAGTACTGAAGAGATGGAGTCTTAAACATCACATCGAATTTTTTTTCTTTTCAATTTTCGATAATGTTCCAAAAACTTGACTCTTGTACACTAATCTTATCCTCCTATGCAATGGTATACCATGCTATTTATTTATTTTTTTTTTTTTTTGGTAACATTCCAAAAAAATTATGTTTTTAAATTTGAATGAAACAAAAACTTGTACAAAGTACTTTAAGTTAAAAAAAAATCAAAAAAGATTACTACTGTCTGTAGTCCTATGAGTTTTCTATGAGTGTTAAGCCACTAATGCTACCAAACGATCATGAAATTGAAATATATATATATATTTATAAGCATAAGACGTAACCGGGGCTAAATGACACATTTTTTACGGTTTTTTGCTTTCGCATCAATAATATTTCAGATAGTTATAAAATTTATTTTGTCTTAATAAATTTATGTCGACAGGGTAAGTGTGCACTTGAATTTTATTTTACATCGAACAACCCATAATTTTCCTAACAGTTTTATAAATGTTTGATGTGCTTTTAAAGAAAACAAATTACAATTTAAAATTATTTCTAGTAGACTTCATTCATAAAAAACTAACTGACATAACTACTTATTAACTTGTACTCTAAAACTAACTTCAACAAAATTTACTTATATTATAAGAGATCATTTATATTAAGTAATATTATATAAGTATAAGTAAATATCACTATACCTGAATGTTGATAACGTCTTCTTCGTAAGATACTGTTTTAGGTACGTCAGTTAAACTTTGATATCCGCTATAGTCGTATTCTAACTGCTTGAACGATTGAAAATCAAATTTCTCGGTTTCAATGTTATTCATGAAATCCAAATGTTCTGAAAATATTACACGAATCACCCTGAACAGCTTGAAAATTAAACATAAATTTATACAAACTTTTAAGTTTTGTCACGAAATTTTTCGGATAATAATAATTTGATCTTCAGGCGCAAAGCAGGAATCTCGAAGAAGTTAAACCCGACATAAATTAAGAATATACACACTATTGAGCAAAACGATAATAATAATATTAAAGGTCATTTTATCCTCATGATTACTTATGAGGTTAAACTTGATAATATTTAATGAAGAGAAATTTCCTTATTTTCAAAATTAAATCCTGACTACGTGCCTGATTTCGCCCTCTTTAATTTTTTAAAAACTATACCTATAGATAACCGATCATATTCTTTTACTTGTGAATATTCATAGTTATTTTTTATGTATATCTGTTCTTTTATCTTACCCATGCACGAAGAAGAGAGCAAATTTTGCAACCTGCCGATTCGCACTTTGATACCATCACAGTGACCCTTTTTCAGCATAGCGAATAAGTCCAACATCTCTTCGAACTGTGGATCTCTGCGCCATTAAAAATATTTATACACCGAAATAACAATTTTAATTGTAACCCGTTATATTTTCTCACCTCATATGTTCTTCTCTGATCAATAAACATACAGTAGGTCTACCCGATAAGCGCCAAAACCTACTAACGAACTGTAGTTCTGTTTTAATATCATCGATTAAAAGTGACATGTCTCGGTACAAATAAAATTCAGATACTTCAAATATTAACGGGTAACATAATACAGTCATACCACATACTCTGTACATCTGTGCATCACATGCAATAAATAAAAAATTAATTTATGCTCTATGTACCTTATATTTGTATTTACTATTAAATTATCGTAATACTAAATAGTATTGAACTTTCAAAACATAATATTATACCTTTGAATTTTTGACAATAAAAATAAAAAAACTCAATTAGATAAAATAATGATATTTTTGAAATTGAAGGAAATGAAGTTTGTTTATTTATATAAGTAAAACGTTGATCAACAACACTTATTGGAAATTTATTTTATACAAACAATATAATCATATTTTTAACTCCAAATTCATAAAAGATTAATTTTGTTCTTCATTGAATAAATTTTTTACTAAATTATTAATCACATATTTATTTTACTCTTAAATTTTCATTAGTTGGGTATTACTTAAGTTTCCAAAAAATATACGATTTCCTTATCTTAACATTTATTCGAGACATTGCACCACCACTTCTCGTCTACTGTTTTCTTCATCATGCACACTTTTCATGCCCTTTTCAAATTTTCTATTCAATCTGGTGCCTCATGAATGACCAAAAAGTCTTTACACATATGTGGTATACCCTTAATATCCAATCCCGGAATGTCACAGAGTGACTTTCATGGGTTATCAAACGTAAGTTTAACGGACGTTCTAGTGTCGACTACTCGAAATCACAAAAGTGATAAATTATAATAAATTACCCGTTACTAAATAAAATATAATACGGACACAGCATGACAGATTCGAACCATAGTATGTCACAAGCAATATACATTATTCTATATTCTTAAAACATACACCTACATATAACTTCCATATTACACAAATATAATTTAAAGGTCATTACTATGACGCGGAATTATACGCATTTATAAATTTCGGAAAACAAATTTTTATTAATTGACTTTAGAACTTAGTAATATGTTGTTATCATCGCGATTATAGTATGGGTGTGATTATGTGGGGGTTTATCAATGAATACACATATAATCTTATAACAAAGTCGTACAAACTTGAAACCCTCCAAAATGGCTTAAATAAAATTTATAAATAAATTTCAATATACATTTATAAATGCGCATAATTCCGCGCCCTAGTTATTACAAATGTATTTAATTTATTAAAATCTGTATAAATTAAGTGTGTAAGTTTAACCAAGGTTATTACATTTTAAACACTGTATATTTAAAACTCTAAAAATTTCAAAATTTACATCGTTCCTGTAGAATGTTTCAAACGTTTGAATATGTTTAATTGTTAAATTTTTTTAATATATTAATTTAATGTTTTGTACAGGTTATTATTTTTTTTTGTACAATGTTATTTAACGTGGCAGAAATATCATAAAAACGATCATTTAAAAACAATTAATTTATGAAATTTATTTTAATTAACTTTACATACATACATACATAAACGCAAATTAGTAGAAAAGCTAATTAATTTATATATATTTTTAGTTATAATAATTTATGGACTTTACTAATTGGTTATTATATATCCAAGGAATATTTTTACCAAATTTTAAGCTTTTATAATAAATACTTTTTTTAAGAAATTTAAATAAAGTTTAAGGGTGCTACTCTCCAGTAGTCCTTTATAAATAGTTTACTAAAATAAGTACGTATAATGTATTATTCGGTACACATGTATACAAAATAATCCTCAATAATATATCAGTTAACATTGATAAATTTACAACTAGAATGAAGATTATAATTATTTTCATATTCACTATTAGATTCGATTAATTTCTAATTTTTATTTTACTTACTTTACTAGTGCCCAGAGCACCTATAGGTCTTAATGGTCTTCCGCTAAGATTTAATTTTTTATTGACTCCTAAATGTTGGTAAACCTGAAAAACAAACAATCGTCATATACCTACAATCAAAATTTATAATTTCGACAATGAACCAATCATTTTAATATAATCCCTATTAAAATGATAGGTTACATTTCAATCAATTCAAATTTTTTTTAGCATTATTCGTTTAGTATATCGATTATTGATTACAAAAGCTAGAAGTATTTTTTTTATCACAGTAAAGAGTAATATTATAGTAAAATAATAGATTATGGGCTTGAATAGACTGGTTAATTCAACAAAAAAATCAAGTCAAAATGTCGAGTTAAATATATTGATTACCTTGCTCAACAGAACATTGACTTATTTCAAAACTTAATTCACTCCGGTAGTTAGTACTTATAAACTAAGTTAACGAACCTTTACAAGTTCCGTTGATGACCATATCTGAACCGGTTCGACTTCATGTGGCGTTTGTGTTTGGATTCCGTAGGTGGCCATCATAGCTTGTAATCGCATTGACTCAGCAATAAGAACCACTTGAACAACTAAATCAGTTGCTGTGCCCTATATACAAATATGAATAAAAATTAATAATTATAGATTTTCAGATGTTTTAAAGGTTATTTAAAAAAAAATGGTTCGTTTTTATGTTCTAAACAACATAATGAGTGTCGTTGCGCAGTAGCGTATTTTGAACTTTTGTATGGAGGGCTCAAATAACTTTTAGAACATAGAATAGTGAGGAGATTCAGCCCTCTACTTCCCTTTATACTATAATTTTATGTACACGCGTTGGGATACGGACCCACAACTCGCCACTGCCGTTAAGTAAAAATCGGAAAATTAAATTTTTAAAAAAGTAAAATAAACCAAAAAACGACAAACGAAATTTTTTTTTTAAGTCTTAAATACATTCAAGATATATTTCTGAAATATTCTATACATAAAAGAAAATATAAGTTAAAAGTAAATACTCGAAGAAACATAAATGCATGCATATGAAAACCTTTAAGGAAATATATTAAATTATATTATAAGTATAGCAAACATAATAAAATATGATTTCCTTGTTATTTAAATGAAATACCAACACAGCCATGTCATTTTTTCTTATTGAAATCTCGATCACTTTATAGATATAAAGTGATCGAGAATTCAATAAAATGTATGTATTACCTATCCAGGTATTATCTGGATAGGTAATACATACATGTAAAAAACACGTTTAACTGTATTATGCGAAGTTTTTTATAAATATAAAAAACAAAATATTTATAAAAGTACCTCTCTAAGTACTATCCTACACGATTACTGTATGATTTTGCAAAGTAAGTCAGTCAGACAAGAAAAACAAAACACTTTTTGTTTATTAATAGTCACTATAAAAGCAATTATTCGATTATTTAATTATTTAATTTAGTCTTCTAAAAAGTTTACTACAGTTATTTAAAAAAAAACACTTTCTTCGAAATTTGTCATAAATTAAGATTGTAAAAAAAAAAAGGAAACACATAAATATAGGTAACGAGTAGTTCCGTTTCCAAAGTACTAGGCATTATAGGTTTTCTTATTTTCTCTGACTTCAATAGCTTTTAAGAGAGGACAATAATCGTAAATAAATTTATACTAAAATACTAAAACCTTAAGAAATATCAAAAATGTTAAAATACATAAACACCCATGCAAACCGTTAAGTTAAAAATTAAAGAATAATGCAACTGAGGCATTTCGATACATAACCAAATATGAACAGAGTCATTTTACATAACTCTACGTACCTTGTATACATTATTCTCAAAAAATGTTATAAGCATATTAAATTTACACAAAAAAAATACACAAACTTGAAAAAAAGATTAAATTTAAAAATAGCTTGCTACTGAAAATCATTTAATATTGATATAAAATAATTTATTACTTATTTTTCCATCACAATGACTTTTTCATTAAAATTATAGAGGAACTATGCAGTTCAAATCATATGAAAATCACGATAGAAAATTTTATTTGTTTATTTTTATTTAGAGAATTAAATCTCATCCCCATAAATTTGTATATCATCATAGTTCTGTTATACAATAATAAAGATTAGCGGTTCATAGAGATATGAGGTATTTTGTTTTTTCAAACAAACTAACCCTCTTTTTTCTAACGTTTACTCTAAGTATCAAAATTATTATCAAGTTCTGAATGGCAAAAATCACACCATGCATTTTGTTGACTTCTTTGTATTTACTTACAGTGTCATGCCTGGTCTGTAGTGGTACGCGATTTTATAGGCATTGTGAACATGTGAAACAAAATATAAATCGCATATGTAAATAAATGTACTAAATAAGAAAAACGGTTCTTTCCGCTCAGTTCTGTCAAATGGCGTTTTGATAAAGCACAACGATAGTCGTTGGACATTCATCATTATAATTATAATATGACATTAACAAAACAAATAGTAATTTGATAATCATTTTTATTATTTTCAAAACTAAACTAACAATAATAATCACCTGAAATGCAGAATAACGACCTGGTTTCTTGGGTCTATTATACGAAGGTAAATATCGACGGATTGGATCTAGTTCGTTAATATGCAACAGGTTAGATGTCAATAATTGAGCGATAATATACAACGCTTGGTTCCATAAAAACAACGGTGGATCCTCTTCATCGTCGCACTCTGGTCCTGGTGACCTTAACTGACTACCCGGGTTGGCTTTCTCAAAATCAACATTTTCTTTGGTGACATAATAGAACATCGGTACTAGTGGATCTAACCAAAAATAATTACTAAAATTAAGAAAAGTCTAACATTAATGTACAGTTAAAATGAACAATAAAAAAAAAATACTATATAAATAGAAATAAATAATACTTCAACTACATATTAGAGAAAAAATGGAAGTCACGACATTTTGAAAATCGAGACCGAGTATTATCACAATATACATTGTGATATTTATGAACTGGCACATCATTAAAAAACAAGAAATAAAAGCTCAACATGTTCAAAAGTTTATCTCGTAGAAATTTTGCATGTAAATCTCATAAAGTAAAAATTAGACCATCTTTATTTATTTTTTTCTATTAACTTGGTGTATTTCATCGAATGCTTTTATTTGGTTATTTCATTTTCAATGCAACATGCTAACGGTAATATAAAAATAGTTTTTTTTACTGTTTTCTACTATTGCTAAAAGGACTTAAGGATGTATCCATGTTATCTACTAGTTTAACATTTTAGATATTTCTCTAATAAGTGGTGTACTTTAATTCGATATTGTATCCAAATATAAATACCAAACACCCCATCAACCTACCTCCAACGCTGTCAACTCTCATCACATCTTTCAATAACTTTTTATATTCTTCAATTTGTTGAGGTAAATTTTTGAACACACCGTCAATTATCATGTACAAAAAAAACATAGGCCATTCATTTTCAATATTTTCAAAGTCCTTAAATGCAAATTCACGAGTAAATTTTAGTTATTTTAAATTAATTCATTTCATTATGATAAAATTGTAGAAAAATGTATATTACTTTGAATGATTTTATCAGATATTATTTCGATATTTCATTTCAAAGTGTACTAACTTGTGTCTCTCCGACTTTGTAATATTGTCTATTTGGGTCTTCAATAGCACATTTATAACCATCTCGCTTGAACCTCTTAAAGCCATACCGACTTTTTAGTTTTTTCGTAATATTAGCTTTTGTATAAGTAACTAATATTTCTTCGTGTGTTGCAAAAGCTGGATATGAAACTGTAGAAAGTAATGCAGAATCGACTGCCTGGCCAAACAAAATAATAAAACACACATAATTAGCTTTTTGTGTATGTGTGTGTGTAAGTGATTGTGTACGATGATAAACACTCAAATAACAATAAATATTAGACAAATAATTTTCCTAAGGGGCACCATTTTGGTTTCTACAAGGAAGAAGTAAATATTTCTTGTATTAAAGTCAAAAAACCAAGCACAGTATGTTGATGTAGCATTGTTGGGTCCAGTATAGATGATATCTAACAGTGATTAAAATCACTATCTTAAAAAACGCTTCGATGCAAATCATTAGACAATATTTAATTTTTAAAAATTAATGGATTATTCCAAAAGCTACATGATCTCATATTTTATTATTTATATTCTGATAACAAGTTTTATGATTTATAAGTGTAATATATGAATAAATAAATATATATATTAATAATATTTAAATATAAATAGTACTTATCATAAAAAAAAATATAATGATCCGTACATTTTTTAAAAAAGTATAGCATTATAAAGTTATAAATATAAAAAAGAGTTTTTATATTAAGATATATATAAAAGTGTCAGACTTTCCGGAACACTTTCAAAAGTTAAGTTAAAAAAGTTAATTTTTTATGAAAAAGTTGTCATTTTGAATATTCCCCCTGTGATTAAGTAAAGGGTCAGATTTATAAAAAAAAATATACCAAATGATAGGTGAATACATGCACCTATAAAAAAAAATTATATTGATTTGGTCATTTTTGATGTTATGGCAGTTTTAAGTAAAAAAATGTGGAAAAAATTTCAAAAATTAGCGATTTTTAAATTTGTAATTTTTTTGGAGATTTACTCTATTTACGGGAAACAAGGGAAATTTTTTCAATTTTTTAGGGTAATTTCTTCGACTACATACGATTTGTAATCTTTTGACGTATCATTGAAAGAAATCGGTTCGATGAGAGCTGAGAAAAAATGGTAACAGACACAAAAAAAAAACATATCATCGTAAAACTAATTAAACCTTCTCAACTTCGCACTGAAGCTAAAATGAACAAATCTAGTGTTAATGAGATTTCTTTCATTAGAATTTTTTTTTACTATATTACAAATTTATTTTAATTCCTCGTAGAATCATTACTATATTTAACTTTTATAAATAAGCTGCACTTGCTATCTAAATTATATGTTTGATTGTAAGGATAGCCCAAGCAAAACATATTCATACGAATGAACTATAAATATCACCATAGTCTTTTAACAAAATATATTATTTATTTTGAAAAAATAATTTTAACCTAACTGGTAATTCTGCACACGAATATTTAAAAAATTCATAATTTTAAAGAAACGTATAATCGGGATCCAGCAAAGAGGAAATAAGACATTTTTGTAGATTATTGCTAATTGATATGTTAAACTTTTTCAAATAACTGTCGCAAAACTTTTTGATGCGTAATTGAAACAAATATAAACAATGTTTATCTTATCCACTAAAAATTACACGATTTTAAACTTTAGAGTATAATTACTTATAGAAAACATATATAACCTATATAAAACGTCTTTCTTTTTTTAATCATATCAAATATTATTAATTTGATTTAGTATTGAATGATTTATATGTTCCGTTGTTATGCAACGTAACTTGGCCATTTTTAACAAAAAATTAAGATTTTTTGTTTTAATTACCGGTATAACTTCTAGATATCAAGTTACAAAATAATTTTTCTTTTATTATATTACTTTACAATGTATAGTTATAGTTAGTTATAGTTTTGATTTGGTGAAAATTTAAAAAAGAAATGTTTTTAAAAAAAGTATAAAATATTTAAATAAAAAAAAAAAAATTTTTAAGCCCTCTCTCTCGGTAGTATCAACAATGATTAAATTTTAAAAAAAGTACGCCGCCATTTAAGCAAATATCTAAAGTACTGTATTGTCAATAAAAATTTCATAATGAACAGTCCATTTTTCAAAGTTATTTCAATATAAAGTAAAAAATATAAATATCAACATCAAATGTTTTATAACAGTTGTAATGTTTTTTGAACATTTCTATTTATTACGGGGATTAAAATTATTATACATTAAGGCCTAACAATTAGATACGATTTGTGATCATTTGTTATATCAAGAAAAAAACGGCTAAGTAAAACTAATAGCTTCTCAGCTACGTATTAGAGCTAAAATTGAATAATTGACTATATAAGAAATGTATTGTTTATTTTATTTATTAAAGACAGAGTGATTGTTTTATCATTAACCATTTAATTAATCCAAAAATAAATATAATATTGAGAATTCTTTTTTTTTTTTGTTTTTCTTAGTTACATGTTTTTCTCAGACTATATATCATGAAATATTTCTCATATTTATTTCTTATACATTACATGTGTGACAACTTTAATTTTTCAAATGACAACATACTATAACTAGCTTATTTAATAGATAATGGTCTAATTATGAAAATGACTGATTGATAACTTTTGAACTAGTGTTTCGGATGTTATCAATAATTTTAAAAAATGGCTGATATGAGGCATATTTTTGTTATTGTTAACACTAAACATTTTCAAACCGCTTTCTTCCTTCTGCTAGGCGGTTTACTACTTGTCACGGTTGGTAACGCATCGTGGCTCGGTGCTAAGGTACCGGGGTTCGATCCCGTTACATTGGGCTATTTAGATTTTCTTTTTTTTTCTGTGATATAAGCAATAGCTTTTAGAGTGGACATCAAACGTGATTAATGATTAATGTTTTAAAATTATGATTGACAAATTGAAAAAAAATGTTACTAAAAGAAAAAAAATAGTAGCTAATGTTTTTATAACTTCACCTTAGAACTCGATTCTCTAGGCAACAAAGTTTCAAATATACTTCGGTTTCTGTTGTGTGCATCTATGTCAACGTAAATCACTGACCACGAAGCTCCTTTATCACCAAATAAATTACAACCGTTTATTGATTCTAAAGCACTTTTTGCCATGCCAATGGAACTATAAAAATAAACATACTGATTAATACATAATTCGTATAATAACTTAACAAATAGTAAGAAAAAAGTTTTTAATTAAATCATATAGTATGTCTAAATAAAATGTCTAGTAAAAGTATACCAATACGAGTTCAATTTATTACATGACTATCTTTTAATAATAATCTTGGTTATAATTATAATTATAATTTATTTGCATTGATTTATAAGATTTAATGAAATTTTGAAACTGGCTCTTACAGTGGTACTCGAAGTATGAGCATATAACGACGGCAACGTGTTTTGTTATCATTTCCATACAATAAACTAAACTAAAAATTTCAGAGGTAAATTTTTTTACGTTTATCGTAATATTAATTCCTCCATCGTTCGGTATTTGTGACTTGGCCACGATAATCTTGGTTAGATTTAGTGTCTGTCGTTACGTAAACTACGTGCATGGATCTGTGTTGTCCACAAATTAGTAAAATTACAGCGTGTCAGAGCTGTCAAAGCCAAACACTACCACCGTATCAGCTCTGTATGCAAGGACACGTGACATGCTGTACGTGTCACAAGTACAGATGGATGTGTCCATGTGGAGAATTGTACTCAGCAGAATCGCATGCTATTTTTGATAAGTTGGTATCTTCCTTAAAATTTCCATGCAAGTATGAAGTTGCCCATGTTAATGGGGATGTTAGCAAATTATCCACAGAAGACAGAACCAATCTTAGATGGTATACAATCGATGAACTTGAACGTCACTATCGGACTGTGTGTAACAAAAATTTGTTTTTATGTCCCTTATCAGGTTGTAATTATAGAGGTCGAATTGATACCATAACAGAACACTACGACCAAGCCCATACGTCTATTATATGTGACTTAAACAAAGATGGAAATGAACCCATAGTTTTAACAATTATTAGTCAACGGTCAGTGCTCTTAATAGTATTATTCATCTTGGCCTTATGGAAATTTCTACCATTTTTTCTCGCACTCTGCTTAATATGCTCAACGCTAGTAAAAAAACAATATAGTAAAAAAAGGTGTTTTTTCTTTTTTAGACCCATAAAGGAAACGATATTTAAAATTTTTAACGGATATTTCATGTTCAATATAAACTCAAAAAAAATTCAACGTGACAACATCAATCCAACAGATTTTATAAAATACGATTTCTATCAGGAAGAATTAGTTATATCTAATTTAGATTCTAAAATTATAGCAATTACTATTTCGTTAAGTGAAACAAATTTTAGAAAGGAAAAATAGTATCATCACTGTATTTAAAACGAAAATAATTATTCATCTTTTATCATCAATTCTAAAATTTAACTGATTCTTGTATTTATCATAAACAATAAAATTATTTGAAATCTAAATCTAAACATTTCAATCCACTTATTTAATTATTTTAATTAACTACAACGAATATATTTTACAAAACTAGTTTCCAAAAAAATACTTGGTATTTTAATTTTGTTTTTTTCTTCAATTACAAAAACGTAATATCGTTAAAAATATTATAATACTAAAATTATTCTATTATTAGTATCAATATTGCGTGCTTACTAAAATTTACAAAAATAACTTGATTTGTGTAACTCAACAATTTGTAATTTTTTTCTATTTTTCTAATTTTACTATTATAAAAATCTTAACTCTAAAAAATAAGTATCTGTGGAAACGTGAATTCAATTCATTTAAATCGTCAAAAAAATAAAATCAATCCTTGATTATTGTAATGAACATCAATGGAGTGCGATGATAGAAAAACAGACGTTTCAGAAGTCTCTGAAAAAATTTTCTCAGTTATTCGTAAAATCGAAAACAACTTGGAATCTTTAGTTAACAGTTGTGATTCACAAATGGATAGTTTAGTCGAACTCATAGAGAGTTGTAATGATTTTCAAGACAAAAATTCGAACGATAAGGCTTTAACCGTGACAGAAGTCGCTAAAAAATATGAGTGGCAAGAGTTTTCAGCTGAGTTAGCTGAGATAAGAAAAATCTTTAAAAAAAACTGTAATGATGTGTTCACGAGTGAAATTGAAGATTGCTACGGTGTTAAATCACCAGAAAAAAAGACAATTAATAGCGTTAGTGACTTAATTTGCGAACCATCTCTAATTGAAGTAAATACACATTTTGAAGAAAATATAGAAAACTATGACGCTGAACTATTCACATATAATGATAGATAAATAACCCATATAAAAAAACTATTATTAAGTTTTTCAATTTACTAAATAAAATAAAAAATATTTATCGTAAAAGTTTTTGATTTATTTTTTGAAATTTATCAAAAAATGTATATTTCTTAAGTATTAGTAATATAAACTATATCAATATCAATTTTAATAAGCTGATTTTCAAACTGAATTCCATTTTAGATATTTCAATTAGATTATTGGACTAAAAATTGGGTTTAAAATAGGATAATATATATACTTTTTTATTTTATAGATTAAAATTTACAATTTCGTTCTTTTATTTTATATAAACTCGTGTTTTTGAGATAGCAATTTAAAAGACATAGCTGCAGTAACAAGTAGTATGTTTAAGGAAGAATACATGGTAGATTGTCCATTGGGATTTTTTTTCGTTATTAACACTATCAACATACTGCACAAATATCATGAGGTTTAATTAGACAATTAAACTGCAAATTATGGTTAAATAATATAACCCTTATTAGATATGATCATGGAATATTAAAAATTCAAAGGTTTTTTATGTTTTTCCTGAAACATATTTATTAATAGCTTAATTTCTTCACACATTAAAAGTGTAATGGGTACATGAAAATAACAGTTTTAAGAAAAAAAAAGTTCAAAAAATATATAAATTTACTAATTTTAAAAATTGCAATTTTTTGGAAAAATTTTTTCATCTTTCAGGAACAAAGAGAATTTTTTCAATTTTTAAGGACAATGTCTTGCTAATTAGACACGCTTTGTGATCTTTTGATGTATCATTGAAAGAAATCGGTCCGGGAGAGCTGAAATAAAGTGGCGACAGATATAAAAAAAACACATCATAGTAAAATTAATACCTTCTCAACTTTGTATCGAAGCTAACATTTGGAATGATGTAAGAGGTTTTATTTCTAAATTGTAAACAAATTCTTAAATGTATTATTTAGTTCTGGATTTTATCGTGAGATTATGAACCACTTTAAATAGTGAATATGAGACAAGGGGCGTTTTCAGATTAACTTTATGGCGAGGCGGTGAATCCACATATTTTTGTCAACTAGTTTGGAAATAATTTGCTCAAATAATGTTTTGAACTTAGAATTGCTTAACTTTCAAAGACAAAAAAAAAATGTTGTTATTAAGGCAATTTCAACTTGTATTCATTTTTTGTTTATAACCTTAAAACATATTGATGAACAAGCCACATAAAAATTAATTATATGCATTTTTATGCAACACTTTTAGATCACAAAAGTAATATCAACACGTATTGTTTTACCACAGTTAATACTAGACTAACTATGAAAAGATCATAAATTAATACATGATTAAAATATACTTAAAATAATAATACTGTTTAAGAACATAAAAAATGTTTTCATCAACAAAATTATACCAATATATAACAAAAAATATTTGTTATACGAGTTTCTAATATAATACTTAAATATATACTTCTCAAATATAGACCAAGAAAATTATATGAATTAATAACATTTTACTTTACTGAAAAAGGGATATGTATTCATTAAAAACTCAGGAATTATGTGTCAAATGTACATGTAATGTGCAAAACATCTAAATATGTATTATAAAAACGTATTTACTTTGAATAATTTATTTAAAAATCGAGAAAATTACACTAATTTTCGAATATATTATAGAATAATAAAGTCAATATAAATATAATAACCTGGCATGAATTTCAGGAGTATTATCATTATAAGAACTTCCTCTTCCCCATACTGCATAATCTGGCGTTCGATAAGCGCGTTCGATGTAATATACTAGATTCTGAACAAATGCCACTTCATCTTTCGTATAAATTATTTGTAAACCAGAAGTAGTCATTTGAACTAAATATATCAAATAAAGAGATACAACATCAACCTAAAAAATTTACAAATAAATTCAAAGATTTTATTTGATACATATAAATATTTAAATTTATATATTTAAAAAATCAACTTCATCTAAATCTTAGACTTAATATTTTTTTTTTGTAAATAAATGATAATTATTTTATTTGGACAAAATTGACGCCATTCGGATTTTATAATATTACACGAATAAAATTGATTTAGTTAAAAGACATACCTACAATATATAGGGTGATTGATTAACGTTGTCTCACAAATTATGGCATAGTGAATATACAGTGAGGCATAGTTAATCAATCACCATGTACAAATCGATTAACAAATATAAAACAAAATAGTGAAACTTCTAATGATCTATGTACACCGTGTGTTAAAGACTCTCATCATTCTGTTGAAAAGGGCATTTCTTTCAAGCAGAGATGACCACAGAAAAATTTGCTCGGGGTTCAAAAAATATCGACAACAATTTAAGCCAAGGAGTAATTCCCCATATCAAATGGGTTAAATAATCGCGATCCCCTAACCCCAAAATTCATACAATAATCTAATATTTTACTTAAAACGGTACTCTAGAAGGGTTATGAACAAGTAAGAAATCCTACACATAGCGTTTCTAATTTATATTTAAGCTCAACAAATGTTTTCAACGATCTAAATTCAATAAATCTAAAATTGTGTAATGGTCCAGATAATATTTCAGTTATTTAAAAAAAATGATTGAAAGAGCAAAATGCTCTTTTGAATTATGTTTTATTATTTTAAAACTGTACAACAGCTCCTTAAATCTGGATAAAATCCCTGATCTTTAATTGTACTTTTGTTGCCTCTTTATTTAAAAGACAACCGAGAAAATGTTTGTAATTACAGGACAATCTCAAAAATTTCATAATTACCAAAAATATTTTCTAAAATTATAACAAATATAATTACATCATAATAAAAAATGTTATAGCTAAATAACATCATGACTTTCGTGAAAAATATCCCACTATTACTAATCTTTCAGTTTTCAAAAAAATTTCAATTGAATGATTCAATTTGAATCATTTTCATGCAACAAACAGTTTGATGTTATATTTGTTCATTTTAGAAAGGCTCATTGTAAATTAACATAAATTTGCCTATGAAAAAATTAAATACCATTGGAGTTTTAATTATTTTGCTATTTTGATTTCATTTTCTTTTAACGAATAGATTACAAAATCATAAATCTGGTGTCATAAATATTACACTTGGCATTCCACAAAGTAATCTTTTGCTGAGTCCCTTTTTTTTTTGTATTTCAACGAAATAGTTATAAATTAAATATTCAAATATGTTATTGTTTGCAAATTATATAAAATCATTTAAATCTATTGATACTACATTGTCTGATACAATAAATTTCAATATGACACAGAGAATTTTATGAATTTTGTGTAACAAAAATTAAATTAAATTAAACTTATTACAATTCTTTATATGTTCTGTTACTTTACAAAAATAAATAATAATAAATAGTTATATGATTGAAAACATTATTATAAATACATTACACAAGATTTAAGACTTGAGTATATTATTTTAAGTAAATTATTTTTCAAAGCACATGCACACTTTTTAAAAACCCAGCACAGTAGGGTCGCGGGACAGTGGGGACGTCGTATAGTTGGGTCCAGTATAGATGATATCTGACAGTGATTAAAATCACTATCATATAAAACGCTACGATACAAATCTCTAGATAGTCTTTAATTTTATGAAATTGGTTGATTATTCTAAAAAGCAAAATTAACTCCTATTTCTATCATTATTCCTAATTAGTAGTTGATTTATAAATATAACGTAGTATGAAATTGATATTTAATGATTAGGTATTGTAATTTTTTCGGAGAATTTATAAAAAATTATAAAGAGAAATTATTTTATCCAGGATAAAAGTGGTTCGCCTATACCTAAATGAAATAAAACTTAAACAAGAACAACACTTGGTTTTAGAAACAGCTTTGTAGATAAACTACTTAAAACTTATATTAGAAGGTTTCATGGCAGATAAAGTAAAACCAACAGCATTAATAGTAATATTTCTACCGGTAAAAAAACCTTGCTGATCAACTGATCGAGTAAAAAACGTAGCACGCTCCATATACTTTAATACTATCGACATAAATATTAGCACTGAAATGAGCTGCTAGTTTAGAACATCAGTTGTATTATCAGACTTTAGAATGGGATATTCATGGCTAATTTACTACACAATTAGAAAAACATCTTCCTGAAAAGACTAATTAAAAAAACGAACAAAAAATAAATTGAGATTCTATCTGGACTTATTTTCATCCATCAGAAACCACGTGTGCTTGACAGCGAATATAAAGTTTCCGTTACTTCATCAATAGTTAAATTATAAAATAAATCCAACTGGTTTTTAGAAATATTCATGGGATTTTTATAAAATTATGAAAAATAATTCGCAAATGTTAACTTTAACAGACTCACTTAATATAACCAAAACAGTCGACGTGGATAGCAAAAGTACTTTTTTCTGTCTCTGTGCGCTAAGATGTACACTATGGCGTATATTAAAAATATTGTACTGACGCATGAAAATTTTCAGATCATTTCTTACACTATTCTAAATTAGTAAACCAACATTTAATTTTAAACTTCAATGTTTGTTTTGTGATAAAGTTAGAGATGAAAATTTTAATAAAAGAAAATGAAAAATTTGGGTTAAATAGCGTTAAAACTAATGTAATTTCGGTTTGTACATTTTCTTTTTTCTTTTTCATTCTTTTTTGGAGAATTAGGGCCTCTACAATTTTTGTGCCCCACAAGTAGTATAAATATACACACATTTTTTATTATATAGTAATATAACCTTATAGGTTGAATTCCAAGAGTGGAATATGTATAAACATGAAAATGTTATTAAATATTGAAATTTTATTTTCGAAACCAAAAGGCCTTGTAAGATAAACATTTTTTTAGATACGATATTATGAAAATAACGTTTAAAATGTACTAAGTATTTGTAAAATACTACGATGCATACTTGTAAGTGAGGATAGCCTTCATCCGAATAAATGATATCGCCGTTTTTTAGATTGAACTTTGAGTGTAGCGCATACTTGTTGCACTGATGTTTTTTGAAGCGTTCCACTTGGTCGGCTTGTCTTATCCAACAAGCTAATATTCCTCGCATACACTTAACTGCAGATTGTCCTAACTCGTACGATTTACCTCGATCATCATCTATTCTCCTAGAAAATAAAATTAGGATAAGTAATATAAATTATTAAATTTAACAACAATTCCGTAATCTGTTCTTTTTTTAATAATGTCAAACATTTATATTAATGTTTTTATAATTTCCAATAAAATATATAAATACCTGTAAGCTTGAAATAAACTCCATACAGCCGCTGCACAGTATATACTATCTCTAACGCTGGCCTCTATTTCGTCGTCAGACAATACTGGAAATAATCCAGTGATCGCACTCTGATACCTTAAAAGTTGTCTTTTCACTAAAACGAAAAAAATGTTTAATCTATATAGCTTTTATTTTCCCTGTTTAATATATTTTAATTTATGTAATTTACAAATATAACAATTAAAATCTTGGTACTCAAGTAAAAGATCATAAATAAGAAAAATTATTTTTTTATTTCGAATCAGTCCTCATTAAATCATCCAGAGTAGTCGCGCAACCATATAATTTTTTTAGAAAATTCACACATGAATTACCTAGTATATCAATAAGAAAAATTTTAGGTGAAAATTAATTTATGACCAGTCAACATGAAATAGCGAAATAACACATTTCGTAAAAACACCGCTGAATACGATGTAATTATACTTAAGATTTGAAAATTTCATCATTTTTATTATTAGGATGTTTTTACATATTCAATATTAATAATAGGAATTTTTTAATTTTAAATTAACTTTTTAAGTAATATTCAGAAAAATTTCTTTTTTATAAAAAAAACTTCTCAGAATTAAAACTAACAATAAAATACAATTTATTTTAATGAATATTTTTTAGGTTATGTTAACATTATTCAGTATTATAATAAAATTGTGTTTTGAACATTTCTTTGGCTTTTTTTAACAAATTAACTTTACCTTAGTTTTTCTCCAGTGGGACAAAAAATTAAATCATTTAATATTGTTACAGATGTTGACTATCTATGATAAACATTACAACTTATTATAAAAAATAATTAAATTTTATTAAAACAAACTTAAATTTAGCTTTAAATGTTCCTTTTAGCTTCGATGCTATGATGCGTTTTATTTTTATTTATTTATTTTTTTTCGTGTCTGTTACCACTTTTTCTCAGCTCTCACCGAACGGATTTCTTTCAACGATACGTCAAAAGATCACAAATTGTGTCTAGTCAAAGACATTACCCTTAAAAATTGAAAAAATTTCCCTCGTTCCCCGTAAATGGGGGAAACCTCCAAAAAAATTACATATTTAAAAATCGCTAATTTTCGAAATTTTTTCAATTTTTTTTACTAAAAACTGCCGTAAATTTTTCAAAAAACCTGCCCACAAGGGGGGATTTAAAATGATAACTTTTTCAACTTAACTTTTGAAAATGTTCCGGAAGGTCTGACACTTTTATATATATATTACATTAAAGCTAATGTAATGTTCTTTATTATGAAAAAAAAAAATTTCGGACTTTATTTTATCTTCACGGTGAAAATGGCTACCAAATGCTATTATTGTGTGAAAATTCTCGATTTTATTTTTTATATTTTTAACTTTGTAATGCTTTAACTTATTGAAAAGCGTATGGATCAACATAATTTTTCTATGAGAAATACTATTTTTTAATAATCCCTTTTTTATTCGACATACTTTATCTTAATCAAGATATTAATAAGGAACTAGCAGATCATGTAGCTTTTGGAATAATACACCAATTTTTTTTAAATTAAATACAATCTAAATTTTGCATCGAAGCGTTTATTTTTGATAGTGATTTTAATCACTGTCAGATATCATTATACTTGATCCAACTATACCACGGCACCACTGTGCCGTGACCCCCCTGTACTGGGTTTTTTTAATTTGTTATGTTGTAAATTATTTCAAAAACTCAATGTTTTATTATTTTCAAGACTGAGATTTTATTACTAATTAGATAATGTTTATTGGTCTCAATAAAATATTTGGTCAAATAAAATATTCCTAACTTTGGCGAGCACACAGTTAAAGAGTTAATTAAAAACTACAATTAAATGAAGTGATCATTTTTTATTAATAAAAAAAGCTCAACTAAAATCAAATTGTAATGTTTAGTTTCAATTAAAATCATTCGTTACAATAACAACGTATAAGACAATGTTTGATTTTAATATTATCTTGAACATTATACTTCTCTCAACCTTATCATTATAAAGGATGTATAAAAACATATAAATATTATTTTTTTAATGCAATTAATAGCCAAAAATACCTATTCCATAGTAAATATCCAAGTGCTTGACGGTTTCTTCATAGTTAGATATTTTCAAATATAGATCAATGTCAGAATCAAGAAAACTCGCGTTTTTTGCACTCATTTTAAAAAATATAATCAATTAAAAGTTCAGGCATCAGTCACAGGAAAAAATATACAATTATATTTTCTTTACTTGAAAACACTAAAATTATAGCTAAACAGCGTTATAATATTAAGCTATAATCATTTATAAACGAATAGACGGATGATAAAACTATAAACGTTGTCAATTTCACCGTCTAAATATAAAGAAGCGGTACGCATGTTAGTCAGCAAACAGCTGCTTACTGATATAAGCCAATTCGATAGGAAAGGGAAGATCAGTGTGCTTTTTAACACGATTGAAATTTTAAAACGAGCTTAATATCAACAATTCATACTAATGTGTGTAAATAAAAAAAATATTATCACTTAGTGTGAAAAATTAAGAAATTATTTGCAAATTTAGAAAATTTTTCATTTATAGAAATTATATTAATTATTTATGACTTTCCAAAAAAACAAGAAGGCGTATAAATTGGAACAATATTTTGATTAGAACAGATTTTATAAGATATAATTATTGTGATATTATAAAATATCATAATCTGACAATTCTTTTAACTTTATCAGAATTTCATTTTCCATATTTTACTTGTATAAATCCTTATTGTGTTCAGTAAATAAGGAAACGAGTTTCCATTGTTTTCATTGTTTGTATCAATTAACATGTTCCATTACTCTTTGAAAACCGTATATTAAAATATGATTAAAACGTTCCTTTTTGTTTTTTTTATTAGATGAACTTCGGTTTATAACCTGTACATAAAATAAGGGATGACTTATAACTAATGTAGATTTTTAAAATCAAATGAAGTAAATTTTGAAATCCTTTGAAATTTGCTGATTTCTATGACTAGATAAATAAACTATACATTTATGATGTAATAACTCTAATAGAGTTTATTTATTTAATGTACATAATATTAGAATAAACTTTTAGGACATCAAAAAAACATAGAACAATTTTACATAGTAAATTTATAATAAATTAAGTATGTAAATCACATATACGTAATTATTAGGGTTCGGAACTTTATGAATTTATAAAATTTAATTTAGACTGACGTGGTGTTGTATATACCCATAATACATTTTTATGGAGTTGGATGTCTTGGAAGTGGTCCAAACAAATTTTATAAATGCATTAATCCTAGTGATAATTCACATATATATTCATATGCATTTATATATTATTCACATAACTAAGTATTCTTTGTTGACAACATTTAGATAACAAAGATTTAATAATATAAATATTTAAAAAGTGATATGATTTTAGAAAAGATCTGAGGATCCGTAGCTCTGTAACAGTGATTTACGTACAGTGTGGGGACGATATTAGGTTTAAATGCAATTTTTTTATACAGTCAGTGGCGTAGCAAAAATGGGAGCTTCCTATTGTAGTTTCCCTCTTGATTGTATTAAACTCAAATTATTTACGGGATGTTTTAAAAATTGGTCAATTATTATATTTAATTTTTCATCATAAGTACAGAATATGAAATGTTACTATCTATTATCGTATATTATTCAATTTTTTTATCGTAACATTAACAATTGTATAACCTGGTTATACAAAAAATACTTATTTGTAAATTATAATCATATGACGTGTATTATGAACAAAGGTTAAATTATAACCAAAAAAAAATGATTATAGCCGGTGGAGTACAAACTGTGAAAAGATATAATATTTAAGCATCATATAGCATTGACAGTAGTGTTAGCGGGAAATTGAAATTTTGATATTAACCTCAGGTTTACGAGATATATTGTTACGTTAATGGGATTTCTTTTAAAATGCTAAGCATTAATACAATAATCATGAAGTAATAAAAATGTAGTAATATATAGTATATAAAATGTTTTATAAACTTAAGCTTACTGTATAATTAAGTAATCTACTACAGTTTATTTTATTGGACTTGATATATTATTGACGAACCTATACCTCTATTTACTATAAAACCATGATTATCGTGATTTTAGGCCGTTGTAGTATCATTATATTAACAAAATACTTTAAAACTAAGTGTATGTTATAAAAATAGGCGATTTTTTATCATATTAGGAAGCTGATTCTTAAAACAATTATAAATTATTTCACGTTTGTAAAATTCATTTACTGCAAGATATCTATTGTGATGTGTTCTTAAAAATTATATAAATTTAGCAACTACAAATCATTTGATATTTTGTAAAACCTAATCATAAAAATTAGCCGAATATTTTTAATGTCTTATGATGAATAAAAATTTAATTGGCTGATCATAAAAATGTACAATACTTATGAACATTAAACAAATTTATAACATTAATAAATCAAATTAAAAACTTAGGTTTTAGATAATCAGCGGAAGAAAGTTTTCTACAATTTTTTTTTTTATGTAATATAGTAAGTCTGACCGACTGTTGGTATGGTAACTCTCTACTCAGCTCGGCAATCCTTCCACTCTCTCGCATATATAGAATTCGTACCTTTTAAATCCATCATTAAATTTTAACTTGACAACTAAACAAAATTCACTAGAAAGAATAAAATAAATCTATACTAAATTTATTACAATAATATGCAATTATTGTTATTTTTTGAATTAGTGTCACCAAGGTTAACAAACGTGTGTCAATGTGTTTTATACTCAACAACACAGAGACACATTATGTTTAACAGAGCTCAGCAGCGAGAATATAATATATATTTATTATATTATAATAAATATTTTTATTTTGATAAAGTTTTCGTATCAATTTATTTGCTTGGCGTGTTTTTAGATTTTTAATGTGTTTTTTAGAGCATATCAATTTATTTTTTAACCTACATATTATTATTGTTATGTTTCGTGTAGTTTAAATATAATATAAAATTGAATATTATAAAATCGTATATTTTAATTTATTAAAATATTAACTTAGAAAAAAATTATTTTATTTTTAATCTACTTATTTCATTATTGGAATCACCCAAAATTGGCATACATTTTAGCTTCGATGCAAAGCTGAGAAGGTATTTGTTTTACTAAGATGTGTTTTTTTTTTTTTGTGTGTCTGTTACCACTTTTTCTCAGCTCTCACCGAACCGATTTCTTTCAATGATACGTCAAAAGATCACAAATCGTATCTAGTCGAAGACATTACCCTTAAAAATTGAAAAAAATTCCCTCGTTCCCCGTAAATGGGGGAAACCTCCAAAAAAATTACAAATTTAAAAATCGCTAATTTTCGAAATTTTTTCAATTTTTTTTACTTAAAAGTGCCATAACTTTTTCAAAAATGAACATATCAATATAATTCTTTTTTATATAGATGCATAATATCATTACCTTTCATTTGGTATATTTTTTTCATAAATTTAACCCTTAACCTGCCCACAAGGGGGGATTTAAAATGACAACTTTTTCACAAAAAATTAACTTTTTCAACTTAACTTTTGAAAATGTTCCGGAAGGTCTGACACTTTTATATATATCTTAAATTAAAGCTAATGTAATATTCTTTATTATGCAAAAAAAAAATTTCGGACTTTATTTTATCTTCACGGTGAAAATGGCTACCGAATGCTATTTTTGTGTGAAAATTTTCGATTTTGTATTTTACATTTTTAACTTTATTATGCTATAACTTTTTGAAAAATGTATGGATCAGTACAATTTTTTCATGAGGAGTAGTATTTATATACATCTTTCATTTGACATACTGTTTTTTTAAATCGGACTATTTCCCTATATACGAGGGGTTGAACCCCCCTCAAAAATTGAAAAAAAATCCCTCGTTCCCCATAAATGGGAGAAACCTCCAAAAAATTTTCGAAATTTTTTCGAATTTTAAAATTGCTATAACTTTTTTAAAAATAACCAAATCAATATAATTTTTTTTTTTTATAGATGCATGATAATGTCTTCGAATAGATACGATTTATGATCTTTTGACGTATCATTGAAAGACATCGGTTTGGTGAGAGCTGAGAAAAAGTGGTAACAGACACAAAAAAAAACACATCATAGTAAAACCAATACCTTCTCAGCTTTGCATCGAAGCTAATAAAATAATGATGTGAACATAAGCTGATTTAATTTTTCAACTTTAAGATATTAAGAAAAAATAATTTATACCTAAATACTAATAACAAATAAGTTATAAATAATTTTCAAAATAAATATAAATTATAAACAATGTAAAATTTATTTTATTTAAAATTAAAAACAATTCCTGCCTTTTTTTAGTCATATTTTCATTACTATTATTTAGAGCACGCAAATAACAAATTAACAAAAACAAATAAATTACCTAATATAACTACTAAATTATAGTAAAAAATACAGATTAAAGATAAGATTTATCAAAAAAATTTTCATAGAGTATTACTCTATCGAATTTTGTAGTCATGAGATTCTAATCAATGCATATTTCAATAAGTATCAATGATACTTGGTAGTTTGTTATCATTTGTTAGACCAGAGTTAAAAAAAATTTATCTACAACCACGTTTGGTGTAACTGCTATTCCATTTATTATTACGTCCAGAACGTTATCTTTTTCAAATAACGTTTTCTATGAATATAAAAATGAAAATACAGCCATAATAATAACTGTATTACTCAATAGTAATCACAAATTAATAATAATTTCAATGTATATAAGGCTTAGTACGTTATTGATAATTCGTAAAAATAATTGAATTTTAAATTTGGGGGGCCGGCCCTAGGCCACATTAAATCTAAGGGGGGCCAGGCCCACCTATGTCTACGTGCCTGGACAGACATAAAAAAAAAACACATCGTTGTAAAATTAAGATCTTCTCCAGCTTACATGTTGTTATTTACATTAATTGAATTATAGTTGAATAGCAATCTACATAAGAAAACCAATCTCCATACAAAAATCAACAGATCTGATACAGTTTAACGGATACTTCATAGTAGACAATTTTACAATTATTGTCTATTAATTTCAATACAAAATTTTTATTTAAAAAAAAAAATTTTTAGTTGTTATAAATAATTGTCTGTTATCTCTAACCAATTTGATAACTTTTTTATTATCTAATTAACTGTTTTCTTTACCCTGTTTATAAGTTGAGGATGTAAAATTTAAATTTATTTTAATAATATTTGGCCTACTTATTTATATGAATGTGTTAAAACTTTCATGGATTGTTTTGTTGCTTGAAGTGCTTGAGGATATATCCATGTTTACAGTTGAGTTCTTATATAGTTGCAGCCACCGACTAGCAACCATCACTCTGAAGATGGACTCTGAAATGAGTCCGAAACGTCAGAACTCAACTGTAAACATGGATATATCCTCAAGCACTTCAAGCTACTTATTTATTTTCTAAAGCTAGTCGAAGAAAAAAATGTTTGATCATTTTTTAATCAATTGTAGTGTTTAACATATATTTTTAATTAATAAAATCATCAAAATTTTTATTATCATTTTATTGCATTAAAAAAATTATTCTGAAGTATATTTTGTTTACAAGACAAAAATTATGGATCAAACATTTACGATTTATAATCTTTTGATTCAATTTTTTGACTATTATCAGATCTAATTCTAACTTATTTAAAATGACTCTCAATTTAAAAAAAATTAAAAAAAAAAACCAAGCACAGGGGGGTCGCGGCACAGTGCTGACGTAGCATAGTTGGATCAAGTATAATGATATCTGATAGTGATCAAAATAAAACGCTTCGATGCAAATCTTTAGATAGTGTTTAATTTTAAAAAATTGGTGTATTATTCCAAAAGCTACATGATCTGCATGTTCCTTATTAATATCCTGATTAAGATAAAGTATGTCGAATAAAAAAAGGATTATTAAAAAAAGTATTTCTAATAGAAAAATGTTGTTGATCCATACGCTTTTCAATAAGTTATAGCATAATAAAGTTAAAAATGTAAAATACAAAATANTTCCCCCATTTACGGGGAACGAGGGAATTTTTTTCAATTTTTGAGGGTAATGTCTTCGACTAGATACAATTTGTGATATTTTGACGTATCATTGAAAGAAATCGGTTCGGTGAGAGCTGAGAAAAAGTGGTAACAGACACACAAAAAAAAAAAAACACATCTTAGTAAAACAAATACCTTCTCAGCTTTGCATCGAAGCTAAAATGTATGCCAATTTTGGGTGATTCCAATAATGAAATAAGTAGATTAAAAATAAAATAATTTTTTTCTAAGTTAATATTTTAATAAATTAAAATATACGATTTTATAATATTCAATTTTATATTATATTTAAACTACACGAAACATAACAATAATAATATGTAGGTTAAAAAATAAATTGATATGCTCTAAAAAACACATTAAAAATCTAAAAACACGCCAAGCAAATAAATTGATATGAAAACTTTATCAAAATAAAAATATTTATTATAATATAATAAATATATATTATATTCTCGCTGCTGAGCTCTGTTAAACATAATGTGTCTCTGTGTTGTTGAGTATAAAACCAGCTGAGAAAAAGTGGTAGCAGACACAAAAAAAAAAAAAAAACACATCATAGTAAAATTAATACCTTCTCAGCTTCGCATCGAAGCTAAAAATTGTTAAAGATTTACTTTATCCATAATAAATCAATTATATTTCATGTGTATACATTTTATAAAATTTAATACAAGAGTTAAAATATTTTTAGTTTATTTATTTTTGTATTCAAATTCAAAATAATTACTTGATTTTAATGGTAAAAATCAAATATCTTTATGGATGACATAATGAAATTTTGATTGAATTAAAAACACCAATAACACTAACATTATTATTAATTCATCTAAACATAAAAAAATTTACCACAAGACTTTAACTGATGTGGTTAGGTTGTGTTTTATTTAATGTGCTGCAAAAGTGTAAAAAAAAAAATTCATAGCAATAAAAAATAAAGTCAATACTCTTACTTTTGGAAAGTACACTGTGTTGTTAATATATCACCTAATTTTTATTGTATTAAAAATATATTTAATACTATTACAAATATATCCATTGACCATATACTTACTTAGTATGTGGTTGTTTTAAAATAAAAAGGTGTAACAGTCACTAAATTTATGAATTTAGAAAATATTATTTAAAAATTAGTGTTATGTAAAATTATACACAAAAAATGAATTGTATATTACAGTTATTATCATTCGGCAAAGAAAAATTTAATACCAAACCAAAAAAGGGTATTGAATTCTTACAAGAACATAGACTTCTATCAACACCATTAATTCCAGCTGAAATTGCTACATTTCTAAAAGAAAATGCACTTTTAGACAAAAAAATGATTGGTGAATACATCAGCAATAAAGTTAATGTAGAAATTTTAAATAGTTTCATTAAGTTAGTTATAAATCCATAGCTTACTTTATGTATTTGTATTTATAATTTTTACAATTTTGTATAGCTCTTTTAATTTAAGCAGCACTCGTATTGATGAGGCTCTTAGAATGTATTTGGAAGCATTTAGATTACCAGGAGAATCACCACTTATATCTTTTGTATTGGAACCGTTCACTGAATATTGGCATGTAAGATATATAATATATCGTCATTTATACTACAACAGTGAGTATCTCAATATTTGCAGGTTTTCAGGATGTCAAAAAAACAAATTTGAACTATACTCGTTTTATACAAAAGGTAATTTTATTTTCATAACTTGCAATGAAACTGTGAGTCTTACAAAAAATATCAAGTATAAAATGTTCAAAAACACTTAGTTTATTGTCATTGATAAAAATCTTATTTTGTCAAGTCTTGAGATATGCACTGTTGCAGTGTATATGTGACGATGTGTGTTCATATTAATTGTGAATTATTTTTTGGCTTACAAAGTCTTAAATGATTTTAAATATTTCAAAAATGTAATGGAGAACCATTTGCAAATGCTGAATGTGCATTTTTGTTAGCATATGCTATTATAATGTTAAATGTTGACCAACATAACCAAAATGTCCGAAGAATTGATCAACCTATGACACCCGTATCATTCAAACGTAATCTAAAAAAATTGAATGGAGGTGAAGACTTTGATCAAACTATGTTAGAGGAAATATATAAAGACATAAAGTAAAGAAAAAACTTTAATTAATTTAAAATTAACCGTTAAATCATAGAATAATTTTTTTAGAACAAATGAAATTGTAATGCGTGCCGAACAAAGTGGCATTGTACTTGAAAATTATTTGTGGAAAGTGTTACTACGACGGGCTATTGGGAAAGATGGAACTTACATTCAAGTACCAAATGGTATTTTTGATCACGCTTTGTTTTCTATATGTTGGGGACCAACATTGATTGCTTTAAGTTCAATTTTTGACAAATCAAACCATCTGTCTATTTATACTAAAACTATTTTAGGTCTAAAGTTAGTTTTATGAATAATGAAATTTATTCAACTCATATTATTAGCAAAAATATTTGTTTTTAGAAAATGTGCTTTTATTTGTGCACATTATGGTATGTGTGTAGAATTTGATAGTTTGATAATGTCTTTATGTAAATTTACCAATCTACAAAACAATCCAGATGTAAGTGATTTTGTTTTACTGTTATTTGGCATCCTCTTTGAAAAATTGCTTGTAGTTCAGAAAATAAAGAATCTATACAATTCAACATTTTTTAACAGTTGAACCTTGGTACTTACATATAACACATTCCTGATTAAGCTGTATATGATACTTATACATATGTATTAAATGAAAAGTGATACTGTAATTTTTACTTATTTTTATTAATTTTTAGTGTCCTGAAAATGTAACAATACTGTTTGGTAGCAACCCAAAAGCTCAACTAGCTACTCGTACACTTTTTAGTATTACCCATATGTATGGTGACATTATTCGTGAAGGATGGTCTAGTTTATTTGATATTATATTGCAGTTGTACAAGTGCAATCTATTACCAACCATACTAGTTGAGGTAATAACTATAAAATATATTTTTAATTTAATATGTACTAAAAATATATGTATATTTAATGTAGTCTGAAGACTTTCTGGAATTAAGTGGTAAAATTTCATTAATTCGTGAAGCAGTTCCATCAGAATCTCAAAAATCTGATGCAGGAATATTCAGCTCTCTGTACTCTTACATAGCATCTGGTGGTGGTACTGTTACATTCAAATTATACATTGATGTTAATTATTAACTTTTATCTTTAATAAATATATTTTTAGAACCTAATAATCATAAAATACAAACATCAAATGAAGCAGAACTAATTGAAGCTGCTAAAACTTGTATATCAGAAAGTCATCTTGAAAGTTTGATTACAGAATCAAAATGTCTTACAATCGAATCTTTAGAAGCTTTAGTTAAAGTAAATATATTTATCATAGATTATGTTCAGTCTAAAATATTAAAAAAATTTTCAGGCACTTCTAAGAGTTTTTTATAATGCTGATGGCATACTTATATTAGGATCAAAAGATAATGAAAATTCTGCCTGTTTTCTATTAGAAATGCTTCTTAAAATAGTTTTACAAAATCGGTATACTTTCATATTGATTTAAATATTTAGTCTAATGAAAAAACTTTCATTTTTATGTTATTTTTTAGAGATAGAGTTAACACTGTTTGGAATCCATTAAAACAGCACTTATACAATCTTATAACTGGTGCAATTGAAAACAAACATAAATTTCTCTTGGAACGTACAGTTGTTGGAATAATGAGGTTAGCTTCTCGATTAATGAGACGAGAAGAAATCAGTTCAATGGTAAAGTAAACATCTACTTTTTTTTACCTTTAACTAAAGATTTGTTGTATACCCTTAGGTATTAATGTCACTAAGTATGTTACCATTACTCGATAAAAATTCTTTACAAATAGTAGGAAGACAAATAGCATTTGGAATGTATGAATTGTTAAAAATGTGTGCAGTAAATATTCATACTGAAGATAGATTGGGCATTAATTTTTACTATATTAGAAAATGTTGGTGCTGGGGTTGTTATATCTAAAAACCATATACATCCTGGTAAATATGAATTCATTATTTTGTTGCTATTGAGCTTTATTTATTATATATATTTTTTTAATTTATATACTATTATTCAGATAATGAACCAATTAGTTTAAGTGATAGTAATTATGATAGTGGACTGGATGTTAGATCTTTAAATAATGTATTGTCTTCTTCATCTTCACCACCTGATAATTGTTATGTTGGTTGGTCAAAAGTATGCTAGGTCAAATTTTAATTACTTGTTTTAATTATTTCGCAAGTTTTTTTTTTTTCTAGATTGAACAGAATAATGGAATTTTAGAAACTCGAGCTGAAAACATTATGTTCACTCTTCATGATCCATTTTCATTTGTTAAGTGTTGCGAGTCTTTGGCTTTTTTGATACGCAATATTGCACATATCACACCTTATAATTTTCCTAAGTGTGTATCTGTTATAATGAATTTTGCTCAAGCTAGTTTGCAAACAAGTAAAATGCATTGTATAATTTTTAGAAGACAAAAATCTGCAACGAAAATTAAATGTGAAATCTAAAAAAAATAATAAGGTTTTAAATAAATCAAAATATTCTAGTCAATATGATGCTGATGATAGTGATTCTGAAGACATTCCAAGTAGTTATTCTCAAGTTTCTATTCAAGTAATTATTTTTGTGACATGGATATTTTTCTAGTGGTTTGTGAAATTAATGTAATAATTTGAAATTTATTTAAAGTTATTAGATCTCATGCATACTTTATACACAAGTACTGCAGAGATATACCGTTGTTGGGCAGAAGAAAATCCCGACATTGAACTTGCGTCCTTGTGGAATCTTGGTTGGTGTCCTCTTCTTCAAGGAATTGCTAATCTCTGCTGTGATTGTAAACGTGATGTCATTATAAAAAAATAACTAGTTTCAAATTGTAAAATTATTTTATTTGCTAATATTCAAGCATTCTATTTTTAGGTAAGAATGAGTGCAATTACTTATTTGCAACGAGCTTTACTCGTGCATGATTTAGTAACACTAAATAGTGACGAATGGGAAGCATGTTTTCGCAAAGTCTTGTTTCTTTTAATGGACAGGTTATTAACATGTGGTAAAGATATTGATCCAAGCGGATTAGATGAAATCAAAATGAGATCTGCTACACTTATATCTAAGGTATTGATAATTTTCATAAGTCAATTTAAGAATGTTTGATAAAAATAAGTTAGTTTCACGATTTAACTAGAAATTTAAATTATTCTTTGGAAAAATGAAGTACATGGATAAATAGTATATTTAAACTACTAGATACTAAAGATTATTGTAAAACAATATCAAATATATGTAAAAATTTAGATTTGTGTTATTATAAAATTATAAATATTTTAATGTACAATATAATTGTATTAACATCTAATTATTTTATGATGATAAAATTTCATATGACAATATTTTTTAGGTTTTCTTACATCATTTGGTGCAATTGCAATCTCTGTCATCATTTGTAGATTTATGGATTATACTTTTAGAATTAATGCATAAATTCATGATTTCTGATAATAGTGATACACTGGTAAAATTTTTTTACAATTGTTAAAGTGGTACATTGAAATTTTTTTCCTACTTTTTTTAGATTAAAGCCATTCCCGAAACCCTAAAAAATATGTTATTGGTAATGTTAAATGGTAAAGCCAATAGTAAGGAGGAATTACATAACAAACAACTATTTTGGGATGCTACTTGGTCAAAAGTTGATACATTTTTACCAAATATGGCCAAAGATTTATCACAATATCATAAAAAACAAGGTTAATATTATATAAATATTTAATGCCTAATTGAATAAACTACAAAAAATATTAAATATTATTAATTATAATTCAAAGATTCAGAAACCCAAAATGTATCCAACTCCGTGAATTCCAGACCATTAGACGCAATCCCACAAATATCTGGTAACTCAGATGTATCAATTTATCATTCGCCAATTATTTTAGATGTTTCTCAAACAAATATTTTACCTCATTTGTCTACTACACTACTCCCAAAAAATAATCAGTCAATTGATAGTCATTCTTCAATAGTTACTCCAGACTTTATTGATAATTCACACTACTATGGGTAAGTTTACAGTTGAAGATTAACTATTTAAAAAATATTAATATTTTTTATTTTACTCTAAAGGTATGATCAAAATGATGAACTGATTGCAGTTATGACTACTAATCCTATATCACAACCATATTTACCTATTATCAAAGAAAATTCTAATAAAATTAGTAAGCCCCATGTTTATGTTTTTCAATAATAACAATCTGTTATTTCTATAAAGGCTCGGGCAGCTAAACTTTTTGTTTGAAAATATTTCAATTTTTTAGGTTATTTGCAAGTTAAATGAACTGCTTGTGAAAAAAATTAATTTTATATCCTATTTTTCTATTTAAAATAATAAAAGTTAGTTTTATCTTGATATTTTTTAAATCATTTTAAGTTTGAAAAATTATTTAGAAAATTAAAGCTAATTTATTATTCATAACACTGTCAACTTAGCAATGTTTATAATTATTCTGTACTTACCTTAATGACTAAAAATAATAATTTTGAATTATATTTTATATGATTAAGTTTATTCCTAATGATAGACAAGTGAAGCATGTATATTTAGCTATATTAATCTACTGCTTGAAAGTGGAGTTTCATATACTTCATAATTTGAAAAATCAGGTTTTGTTAAATTCTTATGAATGGAATAATTATTTTTACTATAACCCCTTAAAAATCAATTTCACATTAGATTCATAGAAATTTTAAACATAATTTCTTAATATTTGACTATTTGGTCTTTGGAATTGCTTACAAATAACAGGATAGAACGTAAAAAAAAATCATATTAGTCATATAACTCATTAATACAATGACAATATTAAAAATATCTACTAGTGACTTTATAAATCTTGGTAACCATCTTTAGTATGATTATTAGTAAGGAAGACAATATGGAAATCATACATTTTAAAATTATGTTTCTGAATATTTTCTTATTTTGAATAAGCATTTGCTAAATCTATCTCAAGCATCCAACAATTATTCAATTAAGGTACAACGACAGGATAGGTCCTTAATATTTTTGCTTACAGAATTAGCTACAGGAGTTTATTTACATATATTTTGCATGTCAGCATTTAAAAAATTGCAAGTCTTCATAAGTGATTGGGGAGATGCCCCAATCCAATAAGATCTTATTTTTCTGCATTGTTAAAAATTTCAATACATATTAATGTTATCAGTTAAAAAAATACCACCTCAAAATTTTATATATACTGCTTATATATAAATATATTATCTAAGCGACTATTATGATGACACTAATAATAATTTTTAATTTATTCTTATTTTTTTGTATATATTTTCAGAAAATCCAACTCAAGAATGTGATAACAACAAAACATCAGATGATGTGGTTTATTATACAAATTATACAAATTATTATTTGTGATTATTTAAATGTTTATATTTCTCATTATACGATTACCTATGTTATACTTAATTGTTTAAATTTTAAATAAATGATTGTATTTTTGATCCCTAAATGTAATTTTTTTCTTTAACTGTCCTAAGTTTTTAGTTTTTTGGAATACAGTTACAATTTACCAATTTTTTAATGAGTATTATTTTATTTAACCTTAAAATTTAATTTAAGTTCATTAAAATTGAATTAAGTTTAATAAACAAATCAACTTTTTTATTATTTTTTAAAACAATTATACAAAATAAAATTTTAACCACAAGACGAAAATAATCACTATCAATTTATTTAAACATGTTTGTTATAAAAAAAATTTAATAGACTCATGAGATGTTCTTTTCATTTTAAATTTATCAATAGACTTGAACATTACTACATTTAAATGGTTTTTACTGAAATACATTTTTCATCTGACCAAGAAAATTAGAGCTATTAATTTATCACAGGAATTTACATATATAAATTATCATCAAAATCTGGTGGTCTCATATGATCTGGATTTGGTCTTCTACTTCTAAAAGGATCTGCATTTGGTGGTTGCATCGGATCAAACCGAGCACTTGGTGGAACACTGTAATTCATAAATTATTTTTAATTACAAAAATTAGAAAATTCTTTCTTTAGACTTATACTTAATGTATAAATGTAATATAAACAATTAAAATAAAACTCACCCAGGAAACATTCCTGGTCTACCACCTCCTACTCGTAATGGATCAAAAAGCATACCTTCACCAGGTTGTCGCAAACCACCTAAAGGGTCTAAATCTGGCATACCATAAGTAGGAAATGGATCCCTACGTGCAAATCCAAAAGATGGTTCTGTTCTTGAAATGCTAAAAAATTATACAAAATTAAATTAAACATGGAACTTAAAAAATTTCAAAAATAACTTACAGAAGAGGAGATTCTGTAGTTTCAGCTAGTTTGGCTTGAAATTGAGTTTGGGTGCTAGCTGCTTTTTTATCATCACTTATTATTTGCATTGGATCAATAAGATCTTTTTGTAATATATTAACAGTGCCTAAGAAATCATCTCTATTATTTGGCATATCCATGATATATTTTATAACAGTAGCAATATTTCCTAGAGCAGCACTTGAAACTTGTTTAGTTTCGACATTCTAAAGACAAACAAGCATAATTTTATACTTGGTAACAGTTTATTGTAAAAACATAACAAAGATGTCTACAAATTAAGACAATAGAAATTTAGTTGATTTTTTAAAAAATTTACTGATATGCATATTACTTACCGATATATTAAAACAATAATAACTATGTGAAAAAGTAAATCAATATCCATAAGTGGAATTCAGGGGGACCTAAAAGAAGGACTTATCCTTCCAAATATTATATTAGTATCCAATTTTCATATAATTAAAATAGTTTATTTAACAAACAGTACAAGGTGCGCACAATGGACCTATAGAGTGTATAGGCAATTCTTCCTCCCCCTCTATAACAAATAAAACTAAAACTAACAATGAGTACTATTTTCTAGGTATTAACAATGATTATCAAATATTGATATAATTACGATATTGGCATTTTTTTTAGTAAAATTTCAATATTTATATTGTAATGAAATATTAGGATATTATCAATACCGATAGGATTGTGAAAAATAGAATTTTATGATTAATTTGAATTTAAAATAGAATATTTAACCTTTGCACATGATGGTTTATTCTAGTATTTAGACGCATCTATAATGTAGTATTAAAATTATTAATATGTCTTTTTCTTTTACTGCACCTTTATCCCAACTACTACTTGAAGTCGGCCATTCATATCCTAAACTCGCACTTAACATGATCTTTGAAATCATCTCTATACATACATCAGCAGTCCTCATATCACCCTCAATTACAACAAACCCCTCTTTTTTAGTCTTCCTCTTCTTCTACTAACTTCAACATTCATTTCCATAACATCATTAATCGTACATAATAAAATTATTATGTAATTATCAAAAATATTGGTGATTAATATATAACCAATAACCCAACAAAATATTCAAAAACTTCATATAATATTGATATTCAACAAATATTGTTGAAAATCTCTATTATTTTCTAAACTTTTTAATAATTTTAAGTATTTGATAAGATAATTTATCACAGCCTCTCCGATTTCCACTTATGTTAATGTTATGCATAACATTATCAATTTTTAAGGATTCACAGAAAATAAATAAAAAAAGACTAATTTATCAATTTAATAAGCAAGTAATTGATTATTTCAATACTAAAAAATTTTCTGTATTATATGAATACTATGAAAAAAAGAAATTTATTCAACTATACCTACAAATTTAGTTGTTAGTTGTTTAAAATATTTCTATCAAAAGATTTATTTAAGAAAATAGGGACTTCTTTAATTAAGTATTTAACCACTGAAACTTTGTGTGAAAATGAAAATAATTAATGCATTAACTATACTTACATAAAAGTTAAATATAAGGCTCTCACCAGCTTTGACACAATTCAAAATAAATAGCTTATTACCACGAGCATATCTCAATTTATATGCATCTCCCAGAGACCAATTTTCTGGCAAAATATCACTAGGTTCATCACCATTAACAACTTCATTCTATATCAAACCAATATTAAAATATCACCATTAAAATTTTTCATCATAAACATTTTTTACTCTCATTATTATGAACATCATAAAAGTAAAAATAATTTTAGATTAAAATTATTATAATACCTCATTGCCTGGTTTAAGAACTTGGAAATCATTTAATAATAACAACCAATGTACTAATATAATTACATTATCTTCACATTTGTTAACATCTTTTTGAAACATTTTTAACACTAAGATCCAAAATTTGGTGTTTCCTTCCGCCATATTTGTAATTAAAAATTAAAAAGCTTTTGAATATATATTAAAATGCTTTCATGGAAATTTATTACTTATTGAATACTCATATTAATGACCATACAATTTATCATTAAAATTCATAAGCATTTAATTAAATACAAGATTTATTATTTCACTATCTTAAAGTCTAAAATCAATTTGTCACTCATATTGAAAAATTACTAACATTTTATCATCTATGATATTTAACATTACAGAAGAATAAAAACGGGCTATTTCATAACCAATGAATGATCAAAAGATAGTAATCCAGTATTAATGTGTATGAAGTTAGCAATTCCTTTATAGTAATTTCTAATCAGATACAAGAAATATATATAACGCTAGAGGGCGCTACTTATTACAAAAAATATATTATTTTACATTGTATTTTTGATAAAGTTCCGAGGGGTGTACACTTAAAAACTGTATTCCATATAAAAGCTTATATTTCCTATCGAATGTTATAAAACCCAATGGGTACTCAGGTGGTTAATTAACATGTATGAGAGAAATTGCTAGGCAATATCAGCGGTCGTAAACAATACATATTTGTGCGACCCACCTACGGTTTTTTGTATTTTTGACAAAGTTCCCAGGGATGTTCACTTAAAAACTATATTCCATATAAAAGCTTATGAAATTTCCTATCCAATGGTATAATTTGCAAATGGTACTCGAATGTTTATGTAACCCATGTGAGAGAAATTGCTGGGCCATATCAGAATTATCAGTCTGCAAACTGTCTATCATAAGTTTAGTTAGTTTAGTCGAAGGATTTCTTGACAAAAATTAATAATATTTTATTTAATTATATGTGTTTAATTTAACCTGCATATTAACATTCCATCGATATACTTATAACCTTTAATAGTAATTAATGGTAAATTATGATAATTGCATAATTTTATATCATATACTATCTAATTTTTTCTATTCGAGCATTGATAATTGAGGTCCTTAAAAGAATTGGTCAATTTATTTATATGACAAAAATATAAGCGATTAGCAAGTTTAAGATTTCAATAGATTTTTTTTGGGGCCATACAATCGATAATATTGTTTAAAAACCAATTCTCTTGAACGGTAATTTATTATACAGAAAACCTAATTTTAAATTCACAATAAAAAAATTCGTTTCCACCAAATTTATAGGTGACAAATAATCCTTATCATAATCATTTACAGAATTACTACTTTAACTACAAGAGTCGCTTCTGAGAAACGTTACAGATGAATATGTCACCAACGGAAATGCGACCGACGATTTTAAGTATGTTTGAAGTTATCCATAATTAATATAATTAACCGCTCAGGAATGGACTAAAGATCACAACTTTAGGTGCACAACTAATACGTCGTGTGACATAAAAGTTTTTCGCACCCGGATACTTTGCCACCAGCGAATTGACGCGGTCCTTTCGCTGCCGGACTCTTGATACATAAATTTATTATTAATTCCTTTTCGAAAAAATATGATTATCTTAGACTAATCTGTTACTGACAAGCCCTTAAAATCCAGTATAATGATAAAAAAATTAATTATATAAATAATGTCACAAATTATTTAAATTTAATTATTGTAATATTCATTGTTCTTGAAGATAAAAATGGTTAGTATTAATTTCAAATAAACCCTAAACAAATGTATTTAAAAATAAATGAAATCTAATTTTACTGAACTTATTTGATTGTATTCATTAAAACTCCATGCGTTAGAGAGAGTTGTATACAATATAAATATTTTATGCTATTACCATACAGTATATAAAAATCATTAAATATATATATATATATATATAAACAGACTTATTTGTATAAATATTTTTATTGCATGAAGCTCTAATTTTATCGAAAAAATTATTCATAATAATATAATTTTTTTGGTAAGTTTATTATGCAAACAAAGGTTGGTCAAATTGAGTATTTTATTTTAAATATTCAGAAATAAATGTCTTGTTAATAATTTAAACACAAAAATAGCATATTTTTTAATTTAGTAATCATTTTTACCCTGAAGACNCCAGTAGAAGTGTAAAGTCTGAGCTGGGACCCCCCCTAACCCACATTTTGTGGGTTTACCCTGTCCTAGGTGGACGGGCGGTGTAAACGGCTGTTGGTATATGGTGAAAGGCATAGTCCCCTCACCCACCCACATGATGTGGGTTTACCCTGTCCTAGGTGGACGGGCGGTGTAAACAACCGGGAGGGGTATATGGTGAAAGGCATAGTCCCCTCACCCACCCACATGATGTAGGTTTACCCTGTCCTAGGTTGACGGGAGGTGTAAACGGCCGGGGGGATATGGTGAAAGGTCGATGTTTCTCGTTCCTAGATAGCATTTCGTTATACCATGGTACAAGTTACCTTGGTATATGCATAGTATACCTAGGTAGATGGAACATCATATAGTATATCTTGATATATTACAGAAAATTAGAGGTATTTTAAAAATTACATAATTTTAGAATTATATGAAAATATTTGAATGCAAAAAAGTGAAAGGTGTAATCAAGCGGCGACGGCGGCTATTAATCCCACAAAACCCAACTTTAGCTATGTGACGTGTATGCCTTTGATCATAGAGAGCATAGTAAAATGAATAAGAAGTATGCTCGATCAAATTAGTGCGCATGATAAGCCTAGAGGTAAAATATGTAACCAACAATAAACTCAACGTGACGTCACATGTACATACATTGCGTTGTATATATTCTATATTAAGGGGCACTGTCCCGTTATAGTCAAGTATTTTAATGAACTTTTTTTAGTTAATTTCGGTTTTCAATTTCATTTATAATTTTTTTATTATTATTATTAACTTCAACTGTGTTGTAATACATCTTTATTGTATTATCTGCTACACTGTAGTAGTTTATAAACCAAGATTTAATTCGTTGATAAATCTAACCTGAGAAAAACTTTAACTGCATAGTAAAATTTTACTATGTTTAACTGCATATAAATAATTAAATATCAATTTATTGTGTAATTACTTACAGTAAGTATAAGTTGTTACATTATTTATAAAAAATGTAGTTTTAATGATTATTTAATAAATTTTTGAATTTTTTTTTTTATTGCTCATTTCTCGTGATGCAAGTTTTTTTATTTATATTCCGTATTCTAAAATATATTTTTGTTCTAATAATGAAGTTTTTGACTTCATCATCCACCAAAAGATTATCTGAATTACATGCTTTTTTAGTTAATTCCAGTACCTCCTTTATTAAGCCTG